AAGTCAAGTCTACACCTCCAGGTGTGGATCTGTGTGTGCAAGTGTGGGGGGCCATGTAGAGCAGTTCAGATGGGCTGGTCTTAGTGAAGTTGTATACAGTTTGCTGTTGCTGCTGTTGTAGGAAACCTGCTTTTCTCAGTTTTATTATATATATGAGAACAAAACTTGCTTTATGTTACCACTGTTTAGTTAAGATTGGAAAAACAGTTACTTCAAAGGGGAATCCCCCCCAGATTTCTGGATTGTTCAATCACTGAGCTGAGTCATTCAGAGTGGTTTATTGTGTAATAGTTAATTGTAGAGAAACTTACTGACTCACATTTCTTTACAGTGATGGTGATAGGAAGCCGGGCTCCAATGACCAATGAACCACCTCTGTTTTTATTTGTAACTTTGATAATGGTGAAGTTGTGGTAACATATTCCCAAACATTTCACATAATAACTTTCTGTGAGGAAACTTTAAGAGTCATTAAACTCTTCGGATGTCCCACCACCGCTGTGAACATGCTTGACTTGGTATGTTTCTCTAGGAACCTTTTCTAGGATATGATTTACTGTGAAGTAGTACCTAGGCCTATACCTAGCAATCAGCTGGGTTGACTATAGATAATCACTGTTTACATTTTCCTTCATCTGTTTGGTGTTTTATTGGTGCTATCTTTATATGCTGTGTCACTTTGACAAGCCTTCCATCCTTGCTCATAAAGCAGTCTGTGGGCAGAGCCATTGTCATGCTGCGTGTGGAGCGTATCTGTAACATCTTATCAGTGCTCGCTGCTGACTGTGGCAGTAGATCCGGTGTCACCGAAGAGTCTCTCTAGTGGACAATCTCTTCTCTTTCCCCACTGCATGAGATTTATTTCCTGGCCGCTGATGACAAGTGCATGGGGAATACCTCAGGGGGGCGCTGCCTTTCTCCTCCTGCCTGGCCCGCTGATGGAACGACAGCGCTGCATAATTGATGGCACTGCAAGAACATGCTGGTGTACTTTATCTCGCCTGTCTGATCCCATTGCCTCAGGCAGAGAGAGTTAGCAGGCGACAGTGTCCTGCTCTATCTGTCTCTCCGGGGTAGGGCTGCATCTAACAATTATTTATAACGGTTATTTGATTAGTCGATTTTTGGGATACTGCAGGTGACATCACTGCCATCACTCACAGTCAATCAGCTCTTTTATGATGCAACAAAACAGATTCCTTCAGTCTGTTGGAAAGACCACATCAGAGCCTTACTGCTTTGTTTTCAGTTTTCCCATAATCAGCACTTCACTGCAGGACAACACCAAAACATACAGGTATTCCATCACCAGGTTTGAGAATTACTGAATAAGGTGGAGAGTCAATCTGATATGATTGGTCTTTCAGAAGCAGTCTTCTTTGCTGATGCTATTGGGAGAGAACACAGGAGGTACAGATCACCCCCAGGGACACATGCGCACACACCCCTTTCCTGGGATTAGCTCGACTTCATTGTTTCTGCCCGTTGAACAGGATTAACAAATCATTGTGTCAGGTAGGCCGCAGTCAAGAGACAATGACCCACTTCTTACACCCAGGCCCTTTCTCCCCCTCTCTGGTCCTCATCCATGTGCTTTGTTTTATGCGATGTTAGGACATGGTGTCATACATATCTATGTTATATCCCACCATGTATATACACACACATACACACAGATGTATCTACTTACATACATCCCATGTGTTTTATGTATGTCAGTATTTATATGCAGTAAGCCGTAGAGGCAGATAGATCTTGGCTGTCTTTGCTTACAAAGCCAGGACATTTTGTCCAAACTCCCTCGCTATCCACAGCTCTTAATTAAAGCTTCGCTGCTGCGAGCCTCCTCAGGGAATTCCTTGTGCTTTTGTTTTCAGCCCGACACACAGGGAGATCCTGGGAAGGTGTAAGGTGATCCTTTGGGCCTTCACAGCTTTGTGTATTTGTGCATCTGAGTGATGGGTGCAGAGACAGAGGGCCAGACAAGCAACAGATGCCTCGTCCAGGTGCTTAGGTGATGCTAAAAGCAAGTGACTCAAGCTGGAACACAGCGAAAGATAATTTCCTAGTCAGATGAGCAGATGGATCATAATGTGTTGTAGTTGTCTAGATCTGTTTGTCCAACTGTGAAGAGGAAGAAAAGTTTGTTTATTATTTTAAAATCAAGGATGCTGCTTTTGCCTAATGGTTAACATTAGGCAGTTGACCTCATGCCAACTGGGTGCTATTGGCTTCCTGTCATTATGAGCTCTATTGGCTTCTTGGTCAGACTGTTTCTTTAAAAAGAAGTACTGAGTTTTAAGTCTCCAGTGCTAATGTTGCTAACTGGTGGCTACTATTGACTTCAATTAACATGCCATGTTAGCATGCATGGCCAAACTATTTCTTTAGGCATCTGTGCCCACAGACTTCTAGGGGTTTGTATTGCATGGGCTTGTATACAGACCCATAGGCCTGCCAACACAAAGTATTACTTGCACTGCTGCAAGATGAAACATGCTGGGGTTTCTCTAGGCCTCAGCTGTACTGCCTGTGCTTTGCATGCAAATAAAGATACGTTTAAGCACAGTCTGCACACACCAACTATACTTATTATCAAGCCTGTGTTGTATACTCAGCATACTACAGCAACATTTTGCCATGTTGCACACTTGACTAACTGCTTGTGCACAGCAAGCCTTGCAAAACGGCAGAAGATGCACATAGTTCTTTTATTGTTTACCCTGCTCAAGGTTGTGTAACAGGAGTAGATAAGCTGGCTAAGCATGCAGTCGCATGTGGAGGTTTCTTGAGGCACGCGGTGTGTGTTTTGGCAGCAGAAGCCACCATGGAAGGGGACACGGCTTAGTGAGCCGGCGGTGTCTCACTGTCTGATGCATTTATGACGGAAGCACTTGTACTCGGGTAAACAATTCATTCATTGATTCAAGTTGCTAGTGACATGCGTCACTTTTGTACCAGGTTGGAAAAAAAAAAGTTTAACAAAAGGCTTTCTCACTGTTATCTGAGTATTAATCAGTTGCATATTATTTGACCTCTTAAACTGAAGGCTAGTCATGTGCTATGAAACTAATGTATAGTTGTAAAGTGAGGAACTGAAGTGTTTAAAGACCCACATCTTCACCTGACCGTGCCAAATGCTAATTACGTTCAGTATTATATGGAATTTAGACTAGAAGAGACTGCCTCGAGGTCTGCTTGGAAAAGATGAATCAGTATTATTCAGTGGTACCCAGACTTGTTTTTAACACGGGGGCCAGACAGTGCTCCTGACCTGTATCATCTTCCAGTCACGACTGTCTGTCATTTCTCAGAAGAGGCTTAGTTGGTGCGAACAAGACCTGTTTTGCAATACTTACACTGTACTCGCCACAGTGTGTAGCGTTCCAGGAACAGAAGCAGTGGAGAGAAAGAATACCTACGTCAAAACTGTCTGACGGTGGAAAAGTTTTGGTTTTGTTTCTGTTTTGATGAATTCATTTATTTTAAATTAATTTCTACACCATTTGAAACCACCAGTTGTCCTTTACTTTGTGTGAACAACTCATTACAAATACTTCAACAGAAAATTTACTGGGAATTTTTTTCCTTTTCATAGAAAACTGCTGCTTCACTTCAGATATATGACAGTATAAGTATTTGTCCTAAACTGTTGAGTTTTTTTGAAAGTGGCTGAATTGAAAGTTTTGTAATGGCAGTGATGCATGTACATTTCTATTACGCTTGACTGGAGGCTCTTCCTTCCTTCCTTCCTTCCTTCCTTCCTCCGCACGTGTGACAGCAGCTGAGGAGCGAAACCCCAGCGCAGGGTCTGAGGTGAGCTAGCTGCCGGGGAATGTCTTCAGGGCAGACGATCATGAGCCAACAGAGTTGGTTCAGGAGCGCTAAAGCTGCTAGTCGCTGCATTCTTCCCACGCAAAGCGCCTTAAAGCCAGTAACACGGCCCGGCCTTTTTCTCTCCTCTCCAAAGGATTCATTGTTTTCATTGCTGCACAAGCAGTCCTCTCCGCAGGAAGCGGTGGAAAGAAAGGCATGCTGGGCTAGGGCTACATAACAAACATGTTTACTACACCCAGCTAAGCACATATTTACTATGGAGGCTGTTACTATGTGTTTAACAGGCTTGCTAGCAATGCAGTCATATTCCACTGAGTGCTTGGTCGTGTGCCTGGGTGCTGTTTTGTGCACTCGTCTGCTGATCAATGTATTTGCTTGGCTGATTGGATTTGGAAGTGGGTGAAGGGTCTGGTAATTGTTGACTTGTGCTGGAGGGACATGATTGATTGCTTCCTGTTCGCTTCACTGCTGAGGGCCAGTGTAAAATGCGGTCAGTTAGTTGTTTTGAAGGCAGCATATTGGAACAAATTGAAAAGCCCTCTGTAAACGGTTAGCAAATTACACTATGTAGCAGTAGCAGTATTTAGACCAGGTCTATTTGATTCCAGTCCTGATGCCACAAAGAACCACTTTGGTTCCCTGAAAGAACCTGTGAAAAGGGGATTTGTAAGTGTGAAGAACATTTCACAAGTTTTTAGACCATTGTAAGAGTTCTTCATTGTATGTGGAGGTTCTTTAAACTCTTATTTCCAAAAGTAGTTCTTCCAGAACGTGTTCTTGTGTGATGCAACAGAACCACTTTTGGTTCCCTGAAGAACCTTTCAACTCTTTAAAGAACTACATTTTAAGTGAGCTGTACAAGTGTAAAAGTCTTATAGAAACTGTACATTATGGAGGGTCTTTAGCCTTTTTTTGTTTTGGTTTTATTAGAACTGTACATCCAAGCCAAGAACCACAGGAACCTTCATGTTTTTGAGTGTAGATATGATAACTCTTGCCATTCACACTCTAACTTGATGAATGTGCACACACTGCAGCCTTTACAATTAACCCTCAGGACGCCCCTTTGTGTTCACGTTAATTACCATATTTGTTGTAGCGGGAATCATGCTAATAGCAAAGCTCATTATGCTAACATGCTAATAAGTCTTTTCTGTCCCCAGATCAGCACTCCGGCGCCATGAGCGGGCTTTTAAAGAGGAAGTTTGAGGAGGTGGAGGAAGATCCGTGCTACTCTTCGTCTTCTCCCTCGTCGCTCTCCTCGTCGGCCTACTCCGGCTGGGATTCGGATGGCGAGAGCTGCTACTCTGACACTCTGGACTCCACCCCCAGCAACCCGAGCTCGCCAGCAGCGTCATTTAGCAGTGAGTTTCACCTCCATTGCACTTTGTCACGGTCACAATCCGGTATCACAGGCAAAGTTTAAGTAAAAAGGGAAAAATCCATAGTTGTAAATTTAGTTTTACTCTCTTAAGTTTACATTTCAGCTGCAAAATTTAAATGTACATGTAAAGCTTTAAATTCATCCCTTAACAGTACATTTAAGATAAAGACATAAGATGTTTTATGCGAGTTTTTTTTATTTTATTTTTACTGCCCAAGACTTATATTTTGGCCAATAAATATATAGGGAAGTGTCACCCTAATATTTATATTTTTACGCCTGTTGTCGATTCTCTTCACAAAACCTTTCCTCTCTGTGCTAGCTGCAACTTACCTTAGCACAGAACACATTCCATGTCCTGGCTGATAGTGAATTTGATTGATAGTGAATTGATTTTTGTGCCTAAGCGATTGTTGAATTTCTCAGAATGTACAGTGCAGCTGTACTGGAGATTTGGGGTTCAGGAGGGTGAAAGAAGCAGGCCAAACAGTTGTGTGGTTCCCAGGATGGTGGGGCAAGGAGCCAATGAATGGGGTGTGGCAGTACGCCAGGAGAGAGAGAGAGAACACACCAAGCCTTGTGTGCACCTGGCACACCCCCAGCACAGGTGCTGAGAGAGATGGAAGGAGAAGGGAGGATGCAGGGAAGAGAAGAGGAGTGGAAGGCATGTTAGAGAAGAGAAATGGAAATGATTTTGCCATCCGGTTTGGTTTTTGTAATTAAATGGAGCAGCTGGAACTTGATTCCCTCTGAAAGTATCTGCAGAGGACGACTGTTACTGTTTAAGGTCAAATTTGCGGGGATTTGTGTTGTCTGGGGACGCTGTCTGCTTCACGTTACCGCATGCTCATAAAGGGTCAGTTGAAACTAAATCATACTGATTTAACATTGACGAGTTTCTTAATACGTCACAAAGCCGAATCATGTATTGTTTTCCAAAATATAAAGCGCTCCTGAATAGTTCTTGACTTGGACGTACCATTCTAGCATGAACTTTACAGTAAGAGGTCTTCACATCCACATCTTGAAACAGCTCAATTAACTGCAGGTAATTCAAAATCTAGGACCAGAAACTGGATTCAAGGTTCTTCACACTCTCACCTCATTTACAAAAATGTTCTTTAAAGATCCATCCTTTGAAAGGGTCTTTAGGGAACCAAATGTGGTTCTTCTGTGGCAGTGCTCACCAACTCTACGAACACTAATGCATCTAATCCAGCCAGTCACCCAGTTCTAAAGAAGTTATTTAGCTGGCGCAGGTGTGGCAGATTGAGGTTGGAACCAGACCCTGCTGGAAGGGTCTTTCCAGCGATTAAAAAATCTAATCTGAAGAATTCTGTTCTGTGGCATTGCTCCAAAGAGCCCTCTTTGGCACCTTTATATTTAAGAGAGCCTATGTGAGATAAGAGCTAAGCATGCTTGCAGAAGCATCTGATAGCTGCCGCATATGTACACAGTGGGGTTCCCAGCAGGCCGTTTGTTTAATGGAGACCAGCTGTGGACTGTGGGACAGTGAGTCCAGCCCTTGTGCAGATAGGAATCAGTGAGCTGACAGGTTTTCGAGCGAAGAGGTTAACAAGTCAATGCTAAGTACTCTTGCTCTGAGGAAGTGGAATTTTCACTAGAAAAATGGTGAAACTGCTCAGCTTGTTCCCACATGTAGCTGCTGTGATCCTTCATGTGGTTTTGCTGTGTCTGGATGCAGCCCTGCCTGCATAAGTGTCCCATTCCGATGCTTTTAGCCAGAGAAGAACACTTGGCTGCTGACTTTGAAGGGCTAAGTGGCTAGCATGTGTATGTAAGGGTGAGTAATATGGTAAAAAAAAAGAAAAAAACACACACAAAGCGAACAAAATACGGCAACAATAATTGGTCTTCATTTATGCTCCATGCTCATGGTGTTCAGTGATGTAGAAGGTTCTGATCATACCCATCATGTACTCAGAAAAACATGACATCATTTATCACAATAATATCATATATTTCCCACCCCTGTGTATATTTATGTATGTGTTTTTGAGGGCTGTGGTGCTCTCCGTCCTGAGAACTATGTGGCTCTGACTGTCCCGCTGGCCGGAAGCCTCAAACTTCCAAAACATTTACTCACTCCACTGCGACTCTGAACCCGCCGCCGCCGCCAAGGGGAAATTCCTGGGCGGACTGTTTGTTTGTGCGAGAGGAGAGTGAAGCGGATTGTCTCTTTGATCCTAATGGGAGGAGGCTTGAAAAATCTCCGGCATCTAATAAGCTTTATGGCTGTCTATTTAATAATGGAATAATTCAGTGTCACTATCATCATTAGAAAAAAACTGGTTGCTGTTTACATTGTTTGAACATGTCGTGATGAATAGACCAATTAACTAAAAGTTCCGTTTAGGTTACTACTTTTCCTTCTGCTTGAAAGTTTCCATTTTATAGATACAAGGTTTTTTTTCAGCAGTGACAGTATGTGAAATTGCACTGCGCTCTTTGTCTGACAGCGCTTAGTGTTTTCATGAAGTGTCTCTGCTGTTGGCTTTGTCTTGTCTGCTCCCTAGTGGCCTGTTAAAGGTATAGCACTTGTGCACGCCTGTGATCCTGGTGTTTACACAAGAGACTTAGCCACTCCAAGTCTTCCCATTAGACCTGGCACAGTTCCTGCCTAAATACTCCCTGATGAGTTCTAAGGAAAAGAACACTACGTCTCTCCCTCAAAGACATGCACACACATTTGTACCCTTGCAGACATATGGCTCTTTATTGTTCCGTTGTGTTTTTAGTACTTACTGTATATAACTGTGAAGTGACCTGTTTCATGGTAAACATCTCTTGAACTTTGGATATTCTTTGAATATTTGGAGATGTGCTTTGCATATTACAAAAGAGTATCATATAGTTAACAAAGTACTTTATTGTTAGCACTATATACAGATTATACGATTGTAGATAAAAATACATTTTCAAAATTCATTGTTTATGGAGGCTATTTTGCCCCCTTGTTCTTGTTGTTGTTGTTGTTGTTGTTGTTGTTGTTGTTGTTAAGCCTACTTTTTCTTTTTCTTGTAGCCACCTCCATCCTGAAGAAGTCCAAGCGTCCGCGGAGAGGAAACGTCCAGTTTGATCAGGTGACCGTCTTCTTCTTCCCACGATGCCAGGGCTTTACCAGCGTGCCAAGCAGAGGCGGCTGCACGCTGGGCATGATGCAGAGACACAGCGTTCAGAGAAAATACACGCTGGCCGAGTTTGCCATCGAACAGCGCCACCTACGGCGTGAGAAACTGAAGAACAGAATGAGGGAGGAGAAGCTGGAGGCCCTCAAACAGAAGGTACCTAAAAAAAAAAAAAGTGGTCTTTAACTTACCATTATACAGTCAGTGCACCCTTCACATCTACATAATGAGAACTGTGAATTTGTTAGTATTATTACACAAAAACACATTTAAGATTTTTAAATCTATATATTGGGACAAATCTCAAATGAAAATAATAAATAATTGGATGAATAAATAAATGTGTATGTAAAAAAGAAATCATCCATTTATTGATCATAGTTTGTTTTGACACGTTGGAGACTGCTCAACAGAGCATCATACTGACAGGAACACAAATTGTGTTGATGTTACTGACATGGATTGGATAAATACATGACACAGGGGAGAATACAATAATACAAATTGCAATATATAACAGTAATAACATTAGGGGCCAATATACAACCCACAGGGGCAACCTGTATGAAATCAAAACACAAACGACAGCAGATCTATAACTCTCTTTTCTTCTCTCTGACAGCTGACTAAAAACGGTACCCAGGAGTCCGAAGAGGCCGATCAGCTGACCGTGGACGACATCCCTGAGGACGAGATTGACCTCAGCGGCGTGAACCTGGACAGCGGCTCGTTCCTGCACCCATACCCGTCCAAGAGGCGGCACGCCATCCTGAAAGCTGCCGGCGTAAAGAAGATCGATAAGGAGGAGAAGAGGCAGCTGCATGCGCTGCGTCTGTCGCGGGAGGACTGCGGCTGCAGCTGTCAGGGCTTCTGCGAGCCTGAAACATGCAGCTGCAGCTTGGCGGGCATCAAGTGTCAGGTGGGTACTGGAGTGCTTTCAGGAATCATATATGGACGATTTCCCAGATTAAAAGTCCTGATCCTGGATCAGCTTTTGGCTTTTTGTGACAATTAAAAATGCTAGATGTTGATTGTCCTTAAGGATCCTCATTTAGCCACGATTGTTATCCAATCCAAACTCCTGCAGTAGAATTAAAAACGAGCCTTTGAGAGTTGAAGTGTTAGTACTGCATGACTAGGGTTGGAACCACTGATTGGAGTGAATGCAGTTTTGCATTAAAGAAGTGAGATACTTAATTTATTGACCTTGTACTTGACTTCGCAGATGGACCACTCGTCCTTCCCCTGTGGCTGCACCAAGGATGGCTGCGGGAACACGGAGGGCCGCATAGAGTTCAACCCCAGCCGTGTTCACACCCACTACATCCACACCATCATGAAGCTGGAGCTGGAGAAGCGCCTGGAGGAGCACTCGACCGAGAGCGAAGCAGCTCAGGACGAGCAGAGCGACTCCTCTGACCTCCGGCCATCAGAGGGTGGAGACGAGGCCGACGGCTCCAGCTTCCATTTTAACTCCGAGTTAGTGGCAGCGGGAGAGAACAGCTGCAGCAGCGACATGACGGACTCTTCCAGTTCATCAGGTCAGAGCGAGGACTTAGAAGTGGGCGAGAGGCCTCAGAGCGAGCAGTCGTCCTTAGACGTGGACGAGAACGGACTCACGCGAATCCTGAGCTTCAGCGATACGGATAACGAAGACTGCTCGGTGCAAGGCAGGGACATTAGGGCTAGCATGGACAACTGCAGACAAGAGCAGAGAAGGACTGAGCCAACTTCTGTGGGGTATGGCATCTTCAGTACTGTGGAGAATGTGGACAATGACGATAACGCTTGCACGCCACCAATGGACTCCGTTACAGACAGCAGAGCCGCAGCCATGTCTAAACTTTTGGACGAAAACGCAAATCAAGGCAACGCTCTTTTCCACAGCGGATCTGTCCCCAACACACCCTCACCTTCAATTGACCGCTCAGCCAGTTACATGGACCTCAGCCTGTCCTCAGAGTCAGATTTGGAGTTCTTTGATGGTTTTCCCTGCCTAGGACCCAGCTCACTGTACAACTCCCTCAAGGAGTACGAGCATTTGGACAACTTCTTTCAGTTCCAGCTGCCTGGATACCCCAGCCTTCCCCCAGCTAATGACTCAGGCACATGTCTCTTGGAGTCACTCATCGGCTTGTCGGAATCGGTTCCAGAACCCCCTGCCACATTCACAGACAATCAGATGCTGGAAGAAGCCATTAAGTTGTCTGTGATGGAGTATGTGAAAGTCTGAAGGGGAGGCTGATGTTAATAGTTAACACTATAAAAAAATTATACGATTGTAAATGAACACATTTTTGGTGTCATTTTTGTTGTTTATGGAGGCTGTTTTGCCCTCTGTCTGAAGCTGAGATTTGCATTATTTGCCTTTAAAATGTTAGCAGAGCGTTTTTTTATTATTATTATTATTATTATTATTATTATTATTATTATTGCCATTGAAGTGGCAGCTAACATTTAGGTTTAAAGTCTGTTTTTTTGAATATTTGTACATATGGCCAGGAAGGTTTAAGATTCGTCACCCACATTGGTGTTATCATTAATATTATTACTATTGATAAGATTATTTATATGAACTTTAAATTGGGGCACAGTTGGGAGTCTTTTGAAGAAAAACAAATGCTGATGATGCACCTCAGGGACTTTTTCTAGCTTTTGGAAGCAATGCATTGTGACCATCGCTGTGATGGACCCTATTTGGCTTTTTTCCAGAGTATTTCCACCAAAACCCAAAAACCCAAGCGGTGTTTTTTACGTCCCTCTCTCTCCTTTTCTTAGGGTCTGTACTGAATCACAAAGCTAGAGGAAGACTCCTCCTGTTCCACACATTACGGCTCATTGGGATCCATAATGGTACACGAATCCCACCCCCCACCAAAGGCTCCTCAATTAGCACTTTATCTGTGAAAATATCAATAAAAATCGAGTGGGGGGGCAGATGGTTCGGTGCCGTGTTCGCTCCTTCTGCGTTTGCACCGTTTTTGGTGTCGACAGCACAAGAGTCGAGATACTGAGCGTTTGTTATTTATTTACAAACCACACCAAGAATATCTCAGTTGTGGAGAAAGGTGGCATAACTGTGATATCTATTTACCATTTACTACTTATGACTTTATTTATTCCTTAAGTTTTGAGTTATTTATTTATCTCCGAATCACCAACTGAATATCTGAGCCGCCCTGCGCTCTGGTCAAGTGAAAGAAAGCAGCTTTTTTTCTGTGAGATGTGGGGAGTCCATTCATTCACTAACCTGTGTGAAGTGAATCTGAAGTAATATTTTAGTTAAATTATTTCACATTTTGTCATTTCAATAGTATTCTCTAATTTATTAATAGGTTGGGCAATAAACGGAGTGGCGTGTATTTAAGAAAAAGTTTACTCAATGTGCCTGTTAACCTGAGGAGCCGTGGTCGAGAATATAGAGAGGATTTCTTTTGTAAAACTGATGGAGTGAGAAGGAAAAACCTGTTTAACCTACCTATTTCCTAAAATCACTCTCATGGTGCTTTGTTGCCCATGGTGTTGCCTACAATATAGAGAATTACACTAAAATTTTCTAACTAATTTATGTAGATTTGAGAGAATTCTAATCTCTATCATTGACAAACTATTTTATTAAGTAAAAAGCCACAATTTTTGTCTTCAAATATGGAAACATTTGTAATATATTAATATAGTTGAACTTATGCTCATGGAATTTACTCTGGCCTGATGTGCAGGCATAAAGATTTGCCTATTCAGTAGAAGTGAGACAGACTTGGCTAAGCTAAATTTGATTGTATTCAGAATGTTTCGGCAGAAATAACTGACCACATGGATTGTGGATGTAAATTTATTAGTTCGTGGATGAATTCTGCATATATTATGCAAAAAAAATGTATCCTATTATGCAAGGGAAAAAAAAGAAGTTTTTTCTGTTGCCCATGTCTCCGAACTTGAAAATGAAGGCGGTTAGGTCTGCGTCGTCCTAAACGGACCAAAACAAAGCCGGACATGATGTACATATCCCACCACCCAGCCTGTTTTAAACCTTCTGAAGCTATTGCATGTGAGATCCATTCATACCTTCAGTCTCAGTATATGATTTTGCCAGCGCATGCACAATCAGAAATGTATTTGTTTTTTTGCCTTCGTGTGCTGTTCTTGAAACTCACAAGGTTCATTTCCATCCTCAAGAGGGCACTGCTTTTCGCGCAAGTATACCTTATTTCCTTGTAAAAATGTATCACTTCTTATGAAGAAATGGAAAATGATGGGTATTTATTAGTCCTAATTATTGTATGTTTTGATCTACGATGCTTTTGAAAGTGTTTCTTAATTTTTGCCTTTTATGTTGTACATATTTTCTGCTTAAATGGTACTACAAGAGCAAACGAAGCTGCTTTTTTATATTTTCACGCTCGACAGTTTAAAGCTGTTCATTTCATTCAAGTCTTTTGACAGTAGTTTGTCCTTTCAAAATAAAAGTTCAGCTTTTTTCTTACGTGTTTCTTTGTCTGTGTCTGTGATTTTACCACCAAATATCAGTCCCAGTACACAATAGAACCTCACTACCAACCACCTTGTAGTTTTATTCATATAGTATAGAGCCCATGTGTCAAACACAAGGCCCACGGGCCAGATCAGGCCCACAACACAATCCCATCTGGCCTGCAAGATTATTTGAATTTTCTATTGATATTAGCCTGTTTTACAATGTGCTGCACTTCAGTCCCCAGCATGCACTGCAAAATAATGTGTGCTTTGACTCTCCTACCTCAACAACAATCTATGGGACAGCGGTTACCTCAATTCTACACAATTCCACACCAGTCATATCACCAAACACATTAGCCGCATTTCAGCTGCAGTTCAGCCAATATAAACACCTGACGTCAGCTCAGCAGCTCATTATTAATGAACTTGCAGCAAAAAAAGGATGCCAGGTGTCTAGTTTAAGCAAATAGATAAGTTTAAAAGACAGAGGACTTAGGGACATTTAAATTTTGAATATTTCAAGTATTCATGTAATACTTTAAGGTCTATTATAAGTACCTATATATTAATTTTAAGTGTTTTTTTTTTTAAGTTTTTGCTTTTTGAATAAACAATGGCCAGTTGGAGTTAGAGCACAACATTAATTACAAATGAAATAAAAACTTTTTTTCTCTGGGCTGCAGGTTTGTTGAGATTTTTTAATATGGACCCTTAAGTGGTTGAGTTTGACACTCCTAGTGTAGAGTATTACTGGATAGTTATATAGCATTTTATTACTGTAGTTATTATGATCAACTTAGTAAAAGTGGAACAGGTAAACTACAGTATTAGGCATTTTTACTGGTAAACTAGAGTAATAAAAATTAAAATGAATTGGTAGTTAGTACACTGTAAAAAGTGGAAAGGATAAGCCGGTTTAAAGTGCTTTTCAGGGTTCAATTGGTGTTAAATATTCCTTTTTCTAAGAATTTGTTTTCCACTGTTTCCACAATCTTTGAGTTGAGTAAAGCCAGTTAAATCACGTTACCACAGTGCAGGTGAGCCGCAATATGCAACTGCTAAACTTGTATTTAGTTTAAATAAATATATGAGCCACATCTGGAATAAACACTGCATACAGGTTTTGCACATTTGATGCATGAAAAACCTGAAAGAAACCTTTTCACCACTCAATCACTATATGGCAGCATCTCCATAACTATATATTTGAAATTAGACATATTCATTTATTAAGCATTTATTATCCCATCCTTATACATGTTTTCATGGTACATGATTATAAGCAGATTGACCTGTTTTATTGATGCTAAAGCAGAACTGATAAATGAATGCCATCTTTTTGGCCACCCCAGATTGTGCACAGCGCCAAAAAAGTGCCTGTACTGCTAACCTAGTTAAACACACCTGATTCAACTCATCAGCTAATTAGCAAAGCCTTTGTGAGTGACCTTTAGTTAGAAGAAGGAAAAGGCTCATCTCTGCCAAGGTGTGGCCCTCCAAGGACTTTGACACTCTCAGTCCATATCAGTGACCACCAACCTTCCTCCTGGAGATGTACTTTTCGGCAGAGTTTAGTTCCAACCTGCAGCTAACATGCTGCCCCCTCCTCATACCCACACTAAACCAAGGACTTCTGAGGAATTATCTGGAGCATGTGTGGAGGCTTGTGCTTCAAATTACACTCCTTTGCTGTCCAAAGTACTCTCAAAAGTCTTCACCAACACCAGAGTGCCAAGGCATCTATATTTTCTCTGTGGCGCTTGTTTATTGTCCAGCTTTCAAATTCATAAAGAACCATAGCGAAGACCACAGCCTGGACAATTCTGATCTTTGTTTGTAGAGACAAAGCGTTGCATTTGAAGATCTTTCAGCTGCCGAGTGCCAATCTATGTCATATTTCTTGAGTATCCTCTCAATCCTCTCATATCCTCTGTTGTTTTGATCCGCATAGGCAAAAGCTGTCCACTATTTCCACATCTTCTCCATCAATGGTAACGTGAGCTGTCTTTCCTGTTGTCATAACCATAGTCTTCTTCAAATTGAGCTGAAGTCCCATCTTTTCACTCCGTTCTTAAACCTTCCCTACAAGGGCCTTCAGGTCTTCCAGACTTTCCACTATGAGTGTTGTATCATCCGCATAATCGAAGATTATTTCTTCCACTAAACCTGAATCCCTGATCATCTTCTGTCCTGCTTCTCTCATTACATGTTCTGCATACAGGTTGAACAGGTATGGTGGTAGCATGTAACTCCTTTTCTGAAGTGGAACCATTCTGTTTGTCCATTTTCTGTCCAGACCGTGACTCATTGATCACTGTAGAGACTCCTCATTAGAACAAGGAGATGCTCTGGTATTCCCATTTTCCTGAGGACGTTCCATAATTTTATGTAGTCAACACATTCAAAGGCTTTGCTTTAGTCAGTGAAACACATGTTCATCTCCTTCTTGAGCTCCTTGGCTTTTTCAATGATCCAGTGTACATCCACAATAACATGTCTGTACGTCTACTTTTCCTGAATCCTGCATGCACATCTGGCAGTTCTCTTTCAATGTAAGGCTCTAGTCTGCGTTGAATGATCTTAATATCATAATAAACTGACCAATAAAATGACCAAAGGCCATTGAGCTGTTTTCAAGATTTGTTGGCATAATTTGTTAAGTACTTTAACCGAATCTTTTACAGAACCTTTAAATATTTGTGCTGCAATGCTGTCCATTCCTGTGGCCTTCTTCTTTGGCAGTGATCTCAGGGTAGAGGTGGGAGATGTGGCAAAATTATAATATTGCAATATTTTAAGACATTTTATCGATGCACAATATGCCACAATATTTATTTTTTTGACATCTGATCAGTTGGAATTGAGAAAAAGAACCTTTAGTGCTACATCTTAAAAATACCATTAAAAAGTGTATACGAAATTCAATATTTGTTAGACTGTGCTGCACTAAATCCATTTAAACAAGTTTAATTTTGCTCTTTTTATAATGAAACATGCGGTTGGTCAATGTTCTACAAGTACTGATAATATCACAATATGTTCAGAAAAGTATATTGTATTGTCACATAATTTATCACGATAACGATACATGTTGTTATATTGTTCAGCCCCATTTCAGAGCCTGTCTGATATCATCTTCTAGCACTAAATGTTCTGTGTGGCAAACATTAACAAAAGGGTCTTCGCAATTCGCAATGTTTTGTAAGGGTCTTCTGTAAATTCTTTCCATCTTTTTTGAGTTTAGTTTCATCTGTTATGAATTGTCCACTGACATCTCTCAGAGTATCGACTCTTGGCTGAAATTTGTTTCCCGTATCTACTGACATAAAAAAACATCCTTGTTTTTCCGTTGGTTTCCCTTTTCAATATCTTTATCTCTAGGGTCCTTGCCCTTCCTGGCAGCTCACTGGAATTCTTAGATTAGTTCTCGTAAAAGATCTTTGTCCTTCTTGATTTTGGCCTCTTCTCTTTTTGTTATCTCCACTGTAACATCAACCATCCACTTTGATTTCTTTCCCTTTTTCATTCTTCCCAGGTTTTTCTCTGATTCTTCTTTGATGACTTGTTTGAGTTCACATAGCTCCTCTGGTTCTCTGTCAGTTATGTCCAGCATTTGAAATTGATTCCTGGAGTTTTCTTTGAAGACAGACCGTATGTTCTCCAGATCATGTTTTTGGAAGTCTGATTTTTTTTTTTTTTTCTCAGCTTCACTTCTTTGTCCCAAACGTTATGGAAGGTACTGTAGGGATAAACTTAAAGAACTACTTTGACCAAACACCTCTAAGACAATAATGATAAAGACAGCAATATCAGTTTTATTAATAACCATGATTTGATTTATGTTTATTGTTAAATGCACACGCAGTTTGATTTAACTATGCCTTTGAATTAATGTGCCGCACGTCTCTTATTTGGCATCAGAGATGTATTTTAAAGGTGATATATATGACATTTTAAACATTAATAGAGCAGCAAACAACATTTTCTATGTAAAGCCGTAGTATGTAGGTGTAATGCGTCCTGAGCAGAGAATGAAGTCACGCTGCCTCTGTCTATGCTGTAATCCAAGCTTCTCTGTTTTTTGTTTTCATAGCCGGTCCGGCTGCACGTGTATGTTAGTGCTGCCCTGCAAAATGTTGGCCCTCCCTACATTTTGTTTTGCCCTCCCCAGACAGTGACCACCCATACAGTTTATGTGCACAATTTACAGCAGAACAGGAAAATACGAACAAGAAGCTGAGGCGCCAGAACGTAGTCTAGCTGCTGCACCTTTTAAGGTGGAACAGGAAAATTCAAACAAGAAGCTGAGGTGCCGAATGTAGTCTTAACTGCTGCACCTTTTAAGGTGGAACGGGAAAATTCAAACAAGAAGCTGAGGCACCAGAACGTAGTCTAGCTGCTGCACCTTTTAAGGTGGAACGGGAAAATTCAAACAAGAAGCTGAGGCGCCAGAACGTAGTCTAGCTGCTGCGCCTTTTAAGGTGGAACGGGAAAATTCAAACAAGAAGCTGAGGTGCCGAATGTAGTCTTAACTGCTGCACCTTTTAAGGTGGAACGGGAAAATTCAAACAAGAAGCTGAGGTGCCGAATGTAGTCTTAACTGCTGCACCTTTTAAGGTGGAACGGGAAAATTCAAACAAGAAGCTGAGGCGCCGGAATGTAGTCTAGCTGCTGCACCTTTTAAGGTGGAACGGGAAAATTTGAAGAACAAGCTGGCGACAAAGAAGCTGATTTCAGCTTCACTGAGAGTTGAAATGCATGGAAAAGGATGAGGAGGTCAGCTGGGCAGCTGGGTAACATTAACTCATGTTTCCTGTTTTACAGAATCAATAGGTCAGTATTGTTTGTCCTGTTTGTGAATGTTTGTGATAGTGACATTAGCTTCACAGCAGAAACTGTAGTGACTGTTTGCTAACCCACTACCGAGCTAAGCTAGTTACATTACTGGCTGTGTTGGTATTTGTCTGTACAATGTTTGTGAATATTTGTGAATATATATTTAATATTAATATTATATATTAAAAGTGCAGTATACAATTGTAATATTTTCATTGTTATCAAAAGAATTCGGTTTGCCTGAAATAACCTGTAGTTTATTGACTCTTTATGCTGAGCATCATCAGATGCCGACTGAGCCTACAAGAGCTGTCTAGAGCCAACGGTACAGGACACGCTGCCAAAACTACCGGCGACGGTGTTCATCAGTTGGCTTGGTGTGACATCCATGCTAGTATTACTTCATATATCACTTCTAAACAGAACAGAAAACAAAGACAAAATGTTTTTTTTTTTTTTTTTTTTTAATGACAAATATCAAGTATTCAAGGTATTTGTAAACCAAAGTGTTCACAAATGATGTATTCACTTCTGGTCCTGAGGAACACAGAGCAGGAGCCTGACCTTTTAATACAGCTTGTCTTCTTTTATTTCAATAAATACATGTCGGTAATATGCCGATCAAAACAGAACACAGGAGTAAAAGATCTACCTGAAATAATCCACATGAGCAAATGAAGGACATGCCTCACGTTGACCACCGGTTGCTGACAGCACTAAGGATAGACAAGCTTCGATCGGACGTCGCCGTTTGTAGTAATTTTGAACCAGCTTATTGTAAAAGATCCAACATTTTCACTTTAATCAGTACAGCAAAAAACACCAACCTGGCTCGAGCTCAGCAGGAAAAGGCGACGTCCAACCACACTGAGAGACAGAGATATGTAGGAATAACAGCTGGAGGATGTCTCCGTTTCTTTGTCACAACAGGCAAAGGAATAGTGCAAGCACAGTGACCCCGAAAACCACTGACCACGTCAACATATGGTCACTCCACCTCTTACAAAGCAGTGGCATGGTCAGATGATATTAACTGTAATAACAGTAATAAATAATACCACTAATAATAATAAACTACTTTTGGGTAACAGTTTACTGAAGGGTAGGCTACATGACACCTGCATAAGCCTTTCTGACAACTGACATAAACCTACATAGACATTTATGAAGCTTTATGAAGGCTTATGTCAGTTGTCATGGATGGCTTATATAGCCTTTCAAATGCTGCCCTTCTGTAAAGTGTTACCTAGTTTTGTAAGGTCCTTTCGGTGGCACTCAAGAAGAACCCAAAAAAATTCATCCAGTTTAAATGTTTTATATGCCCCTCCCTAAGAAAAAAATACATTTAAAAAATCACTTTGCAAAAGGAAACCCATATAAATTAAAGCCAAAACATGATGTATAATGCAGGTACTTTAGGTAATCCAGGCACAGAAAACAATATACTGTTTTCTCTTCTCGTCCACATATTAGGTGGTTGTCTACGTTGAATACTTGGGTTAGTCTAAAAGGTTCTAGCTACTTTGTACGCCCTCTTTATACACCCCTTTTTACACCTACAGTTACAAATAATGTAGTCCACATTCTAACAGTGTAACCAGAAACTTTCAAATATGAACTGCGAAAGATGTTCTCAGAATAATGTATATACTTGTCAATGCTGTACGTCACAGACATGACAAATTAATATACACTCACCAGCCACTTCATTAGATTCTCCGACCTCTACACTCGTCTAATTTTATCAGGTCCATTTACCTTATAGGTGCAGTTTCTACAGTTACAGGCTGAAGTCCATTGGTTTCTCTGAATAATCTGTTTACCCCATTCATCAACTGTCAGGACCCCCACAAGACCAGCACTCATCATGTACTATTGGAGCGTGAGAGATAATTTCCACCACTGCAGTGATACCGATGGCGATTATACACCACGTTGCACTGATGAAGCTAAGAGCTTGTTCTGTCCTCATTCGTTTTTTCTAGTGGTGGATAAGTTAATATAACCAGCGAATGTCTTTATTTCCATATTATTAATTAAATAAACTGTATGTAGATGACATTTAAGCATAGCCATAACCGTTTGAAAGGCTGATTTTTCAGTTATTTCCCTCATTAGGAACACACTCTAGAACTTTTTCATAAGTTCATAATAGTGTGGTGTATAAATACTATTATACTATCATACTATTATACTAAAGCAGTGCTGCCACTACAACCCAAAATGTAGCTGTCTGTTTTAATTATGGTCCTAGATTGCACAATATAGCAAAAATACTGAATTTTGTACTGTTTCTAGATAGAACTAGCACAGCAAGCGTCAAAGACAAACACAAAGCACAGTTTTGTGCTGCACAGTGCTGAAGTGAAAGGCTACAATGATCAACATAAGAGCGTACTGTGCACAGTGAGGCCTGGCATGCCAAGTGTTACTGCCATGTTAGGATGTGTTGCGCTGGTATAAGAGCAGATGCAGCAATGCAGTGCTACTGGACACTTACTGTCCAGACCACAGGCCACAGGATGTAGTTTTTGGTTAAGCTGAATTTGAATTCTGAATCTGTCCAGACCTGACGAGACCCAACTGCTCAAGTCTGTTCTATCAGGCTCGGATGTCATTTCCTAAATATGTCAGGCTCAGGGTTGGTGCAGGTTCACACAGGCCACCTCCCACTGTTACCAGGTTTTACTCTTTCATTCAATTACCTTTAAAATATAATAATTTTCGATCTGGCATGTGGAGTACTTTCCTGTCAGGTTTTACTGGGCACACTGGGTGATGATGGGCCAGTTTGGAGCAGTTTCAAAGAGAATTTTGTTGGGCTTGTGTCAGGTTCGGACTCAAAACTTGATGTGGTTTGGGTTGAACTGGGTTGGGACAACATTTTCTGGGGCTCTGGTCAGGTTTGGACTCAAAAGGTGGTGCTTGGGCTTAGACAGAAAGTCCACAGACTGATGAATCTGGAAAAGAGAAATATATAGATTGTAACTGAAATTTTTAAATGCACCTGCTCAATAACTGGACCTGATGAAATGGTCAATGGATGTAGATTAGGTGTACCCAATAAAGTGGCCAATGAGTGCGTAGTCCAAATGGCCCAACTCTTAATTAAAAAAACTCCTAGTACTGTAAATGAGCATGAATATTGATATAGGGATTTTAAAATGACTGACATCATGATGTGTCTGCTTTATATTTTATTTGGATGGGTCTTGTTTCCCGCATGCTGGGCTACCCCATCCTAAATGCCTACTGAGCTACACTACACCATGCAAAATGATGCAGCGTCAGAGGATACAGGTTAAGTATTCTTAATAGGTGTCTGTTATAATAAATGTTGGCTTGATGTAGAGGCATTTTATCTAAGCAGCAATTTGCCTTCTTAAAATGATCAGAGATATTATGGACATCGATGAATGCATGAGGATAGAACTGCTATTCATATTATAGGCCACAAATCTCAGAGAGAAATAATGCTGCAAGAGCAGAAGCACATGCTTCTGATATATCCTGATATAATTTCAAATTTAGTATCAAAATACTGCTGCCAGTTTAGTAATGCTATTGCTAAAGCATCAAGGCTGATTACAGCTGCAGGAGGGGTAACATGAACAACTGTCAGGCCTGCTGGGACTAAACCATGCTCCTTCAGGTCACTGAACTGCTTAAAGCAGAGTCAGGTCCATCCATGCTGACCAGCATTTCATTCAACAGCACATTCCACCGAGCTCCACGGATCATCTTTTTTTTTGTTTGTTTGTTTGTTTGTTTTTTGGCTTTATTTGTTATTTTGTTTTTTTTTTCCCTGCTTAGCGTTACAGAACACTTGTGGGCGAGTCCAAAACTGGAGCGCTAGCTGACCTCTCTGGGGTTCATGATGATGATGACGGATGGTTTCTTTGCTGTCCATCTGATCCTGCTCCGTGTTGGCCAGTAGGCGTCACTGCTTGCACGGGCAGCCTTAGGCACTGAAGGGGCAATGGTGCATGAAAAGTCCAGAAGGGGAAAAAAAAGGGTTCCCCTCAGAGCTCCTGAAAGTGCCCCACATGGCCCAGTGTAGGACATTTGAACAAACATCAGTGGACTTCTCACATCAGCAACATTCAGAGAGAGAGAGAGAGAGAGAGAGAGAGAGAGAGAGAGAGAGAGAGAGAGACAGAGACAGAGAGAGAGAGAGAGAGAGAGAGATAGATGTTCTTGATTGGAATACTGAATACTGATTGGTTGAAGAGATACACAGTAGAAAGTAATACACAGAGGGGCATAGCGGCAAAGCTTGCATAGTACGGGTTTCCCAGTTGTGCTTGTGGTGCATTTTTGATAGTCATCTTGATTTCCAAGACATAATACAGAAGAAATAACACCGATAACATCCCCCCCAACCCCATTTAGCACCTTATAACTATAATGTCTTATTTAATGTACAAGTCAATGTACCTCCATTGTTTGCTTATGCAGGTTGACTATTTTGTCCGCTTCTGATGATACGCGCTGATGGCACCTTTGAAAAAAAAAAAAAAAAATTAGATGCAGCCAGATCCCTCAGAGAAGCAACGAGGTGGGGCGGAGTCAGCCAAAGATGTCCAGTGTGTGGAAGAGGGACACAGGACAGGAAGGCACATGGAGTCGGGGCAGGGGCAAGGCTAGATGCTTGGCCCCCTGAGAATTGCCAACACTGGAACCGATCCCCCTGCCCCAGCCCAGGGCCCCTGAATCATTCAGGGCTTTATTTTACTCCCCCCACCGCCGTTTACAGCGCCAATGGATTTGGGGGCAGACCCGACCCTCACACGTGTGCGTTGACGTCCTGCATGGAGCAAGGGGCCAGAGGTGTTATTGCTTTAAGCGTGTTTCCAGGGCAGCTCTGGCTGCTCTGGCCACGGCCCAGCGGTGGCGGCTGTGGCTCCAGTGCTTCGGGCCGGGGAGTAAATATGGGGCAGGAGCGGGTGCGGGCGTGGCTCTTTCGGCCACCTGCGTGGCACACCATCTCGCTGACGGTGCCCAGCGGCGGCAGACTCTGCCTCCAGCGCTCCAGCCGCTCCTCTTTGCACTTGATGGAGTACCAGGTGAGGAAGATGAAGATGAATCCCACAAACTTGAGGCTGGCGGCCAGGCCAAAGTAGACAAAGCGGAAGGAGGTGACGTCGTACTCCCAGCACGAGCCATGCCTGCCGCAGTCCTGCTGCCACAGCATGCATGTGGTGTCGATCACAGCGCCAAAGTAGATGGGCGTTGGAATGTAGGCTGCATGTTAAGACGAGAGAGAGGGATGGTTATGGCGATAAACGTTACTCAAATTATAATACACTGTACATGTATCTCTAGGAGGGACTTTTTTACGGTAATTTTGGAGCATTTTTATTGGTCCATTCATCATTAAATTCACATCAGTGTAAACACAGTGTAAAAGCTGCTGTATTCAAATGATACAGACAAATAAAAATAGAAGAAAATGGATATATATTGTCTTTTGAGCTGTACTTCAATCTTATTTTTTAATGTAGACATGTCTACATTATTATTATTCTTGAGTCGTGCTTCAGGCTTAGTTTTACTTATATTATTTATTGTTTATTATTATATTATTTATATTCATTTATATCACTTGTGCATTTCTCAACCTAGTTTTATTTGAGCCATTCCTCAGCCTCATTTTTTCACCTCTGCAGTTAATGGCTAATTGATTTTACTTGAGCCATGCTTTTCGTCTTTTTTAACCACCTCAATTAAAGTGGGATTCCACAGATATTTCAAAATCGTCACATAATTAACTTAAGAAGATAAAAACAAAGTCATTCAGACTGTTTTGATGTAAAATGCTCCGTTCTAGAGAAACATACTAAGTCAGAATTGTTCACAGTGGTGGTGATAGGAACCAGATGTTGGATGCGCTAATATTTTTCAAAGCCCTCACAGAAAGTTATTACATGAAATAGTTATGAATAATCTGTCTGATACCTGAGATGTTGATTTACGATAGTTTTGAGGAGGTTTTGTCCTAAAACATATTTTTAAAAATCTATTCACAAGGGTACTGTAAGGCAAAATAGTCCCCAAAGAAAACTAGGAACTATTTTACCATCATCAACATTACATATAAAACCTGAGAGAATATGTGTAGGTTCACTGGTGATTTTGGTCAGTAAATAAAATGGCCATATGTGTGTTGCAGACTTCACAACCCCTGGTTCCTATCACCACCACTGTAAATATAAGAGCCACTAGGCTTCTCTACAATGAACTGTTTCACATCAAACCACTCTGAATGAATTCATGCTGAAAAATCTGTGATTTTTATTTAATTGTCTTTGATAATCCAGCACATTTTGTGTAACAAAATATAAGACCACTAGGTGGCAGCATTGGCATAGCTATGGGTACTACAGATTCTGGGTATTAACAGCTTAAATGCACCCTGGGAATGATGAACAAACCACAAAGCATTTGAAAAATTCAGAAGAGGGGGAGAGAGAGAGAAGAATGTGCCCACATGTAATATAAAGTACTGATTAAAAACCTCAAGACGACTGGACTTTGCATTCCTGACCTGTCTGCTTTAAGAGTGCTGATAGGGCAGGAAACCTGCGCTGCTGTAACTTACCGAGTGTTCTCAGCAGCACGAACTGCATTCCCAAAGCAAACGGCCGCTCCTGCTCCTCCACTGACCTACAAAAGTGGAGGAGACGCAGGGATCGGATTACTTCACGGAAACCTATTCGGTTACAATGTGTGGAACTGAAAAGTCGACTCTACAAAGTCATTCTGCTATTTTTCTATCCATGACTCTGTTGATGTATATCGACATTAATAATGCAGTTAGTTGATCCACTGCTATCTTTAGACAGTTGATTGACTGCCATCCTGCTATTTTTAATACAGTTAGGGATGCACACTATGTAGAAAATATATTGTGATTATAATAACACGTTCACAACTGCAATCTGAGATAAAGCGAGAAATATTGGTCTAAAGCCGATGGGACCTGAGTGCTCACGGTGGACTTGGGTTGAGATCAGATCAGTCTTGTTCGGGGTCTCACAGCCCACCTGCCACCTTGAACAGATTTTAATCTGCATTTCTTCCTGCCTTAGATTATCTTCTTGCCCATGTTCACTACCTTACCAGTTTTTAATCTGGCATGTTGGCACAAAGGCCCACACTGGTGAGAAAACTGATATGCAGGAAATAAAACAGCAAAGTGATTCAGGCCAGTACAGTTTAGTGCAGCCAAAAGGACTGATTTGATTAGCCAAAAATACCTGGTCGTGAGCAGAACTTTGGGCAACCCAGCCAAATAATGTTTTGTTGATTTTCTAAGTGAAAACAAATCACATCTTCTAAATGTGCAAAAGTTATGGTACATTTTATACTTCATGTTTTTCCCAATATGTTTTGCACTAAAATGAGCAGAAAATGCGATATTTATGTTTATTTTCTTTTTACTTCTTTACTTTATTTATGTTTACTTTCTTTTTTTATTTATGTTTATTTGTAGAGGATATGCTACCTTATTTTCACAACAAATACAAATAAATTTAATTGCATATGACAGTATATGTTCAATATGTTATGTGTAATATGTTCTATACTGAAGAAGCTAATGATTAAACAGGTGCAATATCAGCAAGTATGGAAAGCTTATCCAGATTAACCCATAGAATTTAAACTTAATTTTGGACAGGTAGTTATAGTTTTACGTTATGTTTTAAAATGTATTTATCCATGATCTAATGATGGCTACATTGTAATTCATCAGGTGCCATCCTCAGAAATATCAGATTTTGTTCAGCATCTCTTGTATATATAATGGAATAAATGACATAGTTTGGAAGAGATTTCACACCAACAGAGCCCTATATCGTGTATAGCATGTGGGGCAAAAATGACAGAATAGACAGAACTCTGAATGATGGAAAGTTAAGGGAGACGAACTCAAGAGAGGAAGATCCACAAATCATATTCAGCCTACAGCAGTTTAGCCCCGCCCACTCACACTGAAGTTATAAGGAGTGTTTCAGCCTGGACTGCTTTTTTAATAAGACACAATAAAGGACAGCCAATCAGAACAGAGCTCATTTACGTATAATAGTCTTAAAGGCACAGTAACAAAAACAGCCTGTTTTATATTCTAATGAATGGAGAGAGGTTGGAAAACTAGTCATGAAAAAATGAATGATGATTTTGGTAGATAAATCCACACAAATGTTAGAAGTAGATTTGGGGAAATATTTAATCAAATGTAGGATGTGGGCACTTCAAAATCTGTAAAATATACAGTCATAAAATCACAAGCATACCAGTCATTCACGCCAGCCATCGAGCTTAATGCAGAATCAACGTATCAGTTGTTCCAATAGATAAATGATTAGAATCTAGTACTGAGAAAACAGGAAAGGTAACGAGGTAAAAACTTATCCAGTAAATGATAACTAAGGAAGCATACGAAGTTTTAAAATGTATTTTGTTAATAGTTTGGGGACTTAAACAAACAACTAAAAGCTTTCCTTTTAAGTCTATAAAAAATCATAATTATTTCTCACTGAAACAAGAACATAAACTTTAGATTAGTCGATTAATTGGAAAAATAGTTGAAAGATTAACCAATTATTAGAAGTAATTGTTAGTTGCATATAATGCACGTAATTAATTGGAACAGTTTGGGTCAATTTCAGACCGAATTTTGTTGGGCGTGGGTCAGTTTCAAGTCAAAACTTGTGTGTTGCTGGTCAGGGCAGAATCAGACAAAAAAATTTGACTCAGGTCTGGACTTTCTACTGTGGGTCGAGTAAACAAAGTTCTCGGACTGTATTCAGATTCAAAATTGGTTCCATCATATGAACAACTTCATTAGTTAAAAACATACTGTAAATTTCAGAGATCACATTTTGTGCCAGTATCAATACTATATTAGGATACTGTGGTACTAATGACCAAATTCTACACTGTGAAGCCCCTATAAGAGCTGAAGAGCTGCACAATTTTGAAGATCTGCGGTATTTTATGTACCTGAGAGTGACGATGATAGCGGAGGGCTGCGCGCAGGCAGTGATGAGTGTGACGATGAAGAGGAAGATGAGGAAAGGGATGAGCGTGTTGCAGGTGCGGTCACACTTTCCCGACAGGGCAAACCCGTTCTCGTTCAGGTAGGTCTTCACGATGACCAGCTGGAGCTGGTTGCCTTGCCCACCGGTGGGAGGGGTGATGACCTGTCTGCTCTGGACACATGCACAATCTGTGTAGTTTCTGATCTGGAGAGAGAGACAAAAACAAGCGTTGCTATGTGGAGCTTAAAAGAGGAAATAAAATGCATACTAAAAACAAAACATGCAAATAATGTAGTGCTAAAAAGATAATTAACATAATGAACTGGAACATTGTTTATGAACATCAACACTAGACTTCTTATCTAGCATTTATTTTTACTGATAAAACATGAACTTCCTCTTCTTCTCTTCCTCTCTTTATTGTGCTCCTGTTCTTGTTTGATAATGTCAGGGACATTCCAGTTGTGCATTAACAGTGTATCAGTAGTGGATGGCTGCATTATTTCTCAATGGATAAGCAAAGATCAGACCAGGTTTGAGAAAATCAGTCTGCAAGGAGGTCCAAATAAGAGGGTTTGAGTACATTGGAAACTGATTAGTTTGAATGAGAGCTGGTTTAAGCTTCATGTCAATCCAGTCAATTCAGCAAAAGAACTCAAGTTAATACATGGAAATCTATACAGAAACGTAAAGGTAGGATTTATGGTATAAATTCTTTATTGTGGACAGGATTGATGGCAACAGAAACAATAATGATGCTTTATAAAGTCAGTATTAAAAGGTTTATTTTAATACTGACTTTATAAAAGATCATGATTCTTTCTGTTGCTATCAATCCTGTCCAGGCTAAAGAACATATAATGTGTATATAAAACTTTTTTTAATCTAGATTAGTTAAATATTAGTGGTTCAGTTCAGTAATACACAGAAATTAAAGGCCTCATAGTGTACATTTGTTCGAATTACATTCTCATTAGTTATGATATTAATTCATTTTTACCTGACCATTTTGTGACCTTTCTTTATCACTTAGATTCAAAACAGGCTGCTTTTGTTATTGTGCCTTTAAGACTAGACTTCTACATGAATAGGCAGGGCTAAACTGCTGTAGATGCATAGATGTATGTAAATACCTTTTCCATATGAGCTATTTTGCAACTTAAGTTTCCATATATGGACTCTATTCTTTTTTCAAGTCTTTTATAAATTTGTCAGTAAGTTCCTTTAATAAGTGCTGCACTCCTCTCTTTTGGTGTGTTGCACCTAACAGCATTGATACCGTCCACATGACCTCAGTCTGGCCTGTGTAGGTGTCAGATAGACGCTCACCCCAGTGCTGTCGTTTCCGACCGTGCTGCAGCCTGCCAGGCAGGGGTTGAAGTAGGTGATGCCATCGGAGCCACAAACAGGAGCATACTCGTGTATTTTACAGCCACAGTTTACATTGCAACTGCCCGTCAGGTTCCTGTGGGTCAGCGTCAGGGTCGGCCTGAGAGCGAGAGAGAGAGAGCGACAGACAGAGCGAGAGAGACTGAATAAACAGCAGCTGAGAGACGATGGGAAAGCCTGGCAAATTCAAACACAGCTCGTTCCTTCTACAAACACAGGGCAGTCAGCTGGAGCTCCAGCTAACTTAGCATTATCCTGGCTGATCTGCAGCAGAATGGAGAGATCAGAGTTACCACAACACCCAGAGTAAAGCTGGCAGAAGAGGATGGGAAAAGTTGGAATTACTGCCGGTTTTCCTCCCCATGGTGCTCTTCATATAGAGAATAGGTGATCTATTGATTACATTAAATTGTAGGGACGTGTCAATAACGAGAGACAAAATATGTATTACTAATATCAATGAGGAAACATGGAGAGGCCTCGTTCAGTTATTCTGCTTCTAAACTGTGGAATTCAATTCCACCTTTTATTAGACAGTCAAGCTCAGTGCTCACTTTTAAGAAGCATCTAAAAACGTATCTCTTTAACTTAGCATTTAATTACAACTCTACGTCTCGTGGTGTTTATCTTTTAATTTCATCTGTGTCATTTTCTTATATGATTCTAAATTAATACTTTATATCAAGTATATAATTTTTCGTATTACTGTTAAGCTTTATCACCTGTCTGTAAAACACTCTGAGCTGCCGCCAGCATGAAAAAGTGCTATATAAATAATTATTATTATTGTTAATTATTGTTATATTTCATCAATAATAATACAGCTTCGAATATGAACATTTGGCTGTTTAGCACTGTTAAGATTGAAGGTGTAGCTTGGTAAACAATCTATATAACAATATAATTAGGGCTGGCTCGAACAGGAGTTTAGATGCCTGAAATACTTGGAATTAGAAGAGTACCTGAATATTTGTTCTCAATAATTCCCTAAAAATAGTGTCAGAATCACTAGTACTATGTTATTTAGACTATTGTGCTGCGTGTAATTTAGATGTGTAACTTAGCGGCACTTTTCTAGGGCACAATTTCTGTTGGAAAAAAATAAAACAGTAAATATAAAGTGTGCCATAACTTTTGCACAGGCCATATTTTAAGTTTTATTTCTTTCCAATATGTTAAATTTAGCAAATAAACAATAAGTGTCCATTAAATGCTGTGTTCACGATACCAAATTGAAGTGGCACAAATCTGATTTTTTTTGTAAACGCTGCATCCGACTCTTTTTCCCCTTCGTCTCTCTCTAGTAATGAGCAGCTGAGAGCTGCGCAGAGCAAGTTATCCTTGCAACCAAGGCCTGTTCTTCTGGTTAGTTTGTTCTTTGTGACGCACACGGTTTCTCACATGACGTCAGTGATGAGGATGTGACATGCATATCGTTGTTTCAGGACACAGGTTCGTTCACATTAATGTCAGATATGAGTCTCTCACTTACACGAATGTGAAAATTGGAACTGAGCAATGAGGCTTGTACTGTGAACGTAGTCTAAATGTGCAGAAGTGTGTTCTCTGTTGAGGATGTTTTAACTTACCTTAGAAAATCAACGAAACATTTTTGACCAGGGGTACGCAAACTTTTGCACACAACCGTATAAATCAATATAATCACAAAAACCATTTCATTCATAAACACAATTTCATGTGTTTGTTTTACTGTCATTTTTTCTTAGCTTGTTGAATTGAAGAGGAATCACTTGGACAAAACTTGATCCAATTCTCAATTTCATTTAAAATATTTTTAATGTGGTTCTTTGATTAATTACACCGTTTTCTAAACACAAAGACGAGTTATTTGACTTTTTTTTTTTTTAAGCTAAAAACTAAACCACTCCAGTTATTTTCCTTAAAAACGTATGCAGGTTTATGTATCATCATTATGCTAAACTCACAATCTTATCTTCTCAAACTCAACATCTGCTACTTACAAACACAAATGTGGTATGGACTGAAAGTTTAGAATCTGCACTTTACACTTTTTTAATATCAAATTAGATTTGTTGCAATAAAGGGTTAAAGGGGAATTCCACTGACTTTCTAAAATCTTTGCATTAGTGAAAGGTTAAGATAGAGAGGTTTCAGAGAGGTTTGGTGTGAAATGCTTCATTCTAGAGATATTTGGAATCAGAACTGTTCACAGTGGTGCTGATAGGAACCAGACGTCTGAAGAGTTTAATGCTTGTAAAAGCTCCCTACCAGAAAGTTATTACATGAAATGGTTATGAATACACTATGCGATGCCTGAGACATGGAGGGTGTTCTAAGGCAAAACAGTCCCTAAAGAAAACGTATTCTAACCGATTTACCACTATTTTACCATCATCAACATTACATATAAAACCATACGACACTGCGTGAGTATTAAAATTAAAGGGAATATTACGAGACCATATTTAATTTGGCATATAAAGTCACAGTTTGGCAAATGTCTGATTTACACCATTTTCCCCAAACGTAATCAATCAGCTATGACATGTCTGAAGTTGCTTCTGGAGTCACAAGGCAGCTCACACATAATAGAGGTTTTTGTGTATCTGTGAGCATCATGCAAACTGACTTAATGCCTCAAAGCATGTGGAGTTGTTAAGTAATCTCAAAGAGACCTACTTATGTGATTTCTAATAATGAATGACATACAGATATATATAAAAAGGACAAAAGTGGGGTGAACTAACACGTCTTCTGAGTTTTTGTACATAATAATGACAAAAAAATTCAGCAGACACATGTAGGTTCACTGGCGGTTTTGGATAGTGAATAAAATGGCTATAATAGTGTTGTAGACAACGTGCCCCCTGGTTCCTATCACCACACTGTAAAGAAATCTGAGTCAAGTTAAGTTTCTCTACAATGAACCGTGAGTTAAGTTTCTCTACAATGAACCGTGAGTTAAGTTTCTCTACAATGAACCGTTTCACATTTCTTTACATCTCAGTGATGAAATTATGCAGAAATGTGAAAAAATTGGTGGATTTCCTATTAAAAACTAACTGGGCTCTTTTACACAACATTAAACAACTTTATCTGCAAGGCCAGGATTTCTATTCTGGAATACGTAACAGAGAGCAGACTGCTGTAATTATACGTATCAGACTCAGATTAGGTGCCAGACTGATACCACCAGATGCTTCATTGCGTAAAACACAGGCGGACATCCAAAAGACAGCTAATACTGCTTCTGCGAAAGTAGCCGTCCAGATAAAGCACAACAGTTCATGGTTCGTGTTTAGCGTCAGACTTTCTTCTGTAGAGTGACCTCAGGCTACACCTAGTGACCTTGAGGAACAGGAAAAGGGGCTTTAACACGAAACGCAAGCGTCACGAATGTCCTGAAGTGTGTTTTAGAGCACTGGGTCACTGCTGAAATTCCACAACTGCCTCTCCTTTCATAAACAGGCCTCACAGCTTCCTGCCATGTCTTCCTCAAACACAGCAGCTACCTCCCCCTCCAAACAGCCTCATGTGGAATCTCAGCTGACGTGCTTGTGTGTTCCTTTTCATTATAAAGAGTTTCTAATCTAATATCTCTGATAAGAATGTGTACAGGCTGTTCTAGTTAGCTGGTTTGATGTGTACATAGAGTGTGTGTTGAGCGCTGCACATCTACAAACCTCAATTCCAAAAAACGTTGTGGCAAATACAAAGCAGTGATTAGCAAAGTCTGTTTGAACCCTGTTAAACTGAAAACAGCACTAAAACACAATATTGTTTGACTTGGTGAATTAAATATACACTCATTCCAACTTTGATGCCTGCAACATGTTCTAAAAAAGGTGGGAGAGGAGCATGTTTACCACTGTGTTACATCACCTTTCTTCTTAAGACATTTAAAGCTGCACTATGTAAGATTTTTTGGTGTCCATGCGATGCTAAGAGTTGCCTTGTAAAGAAATAATAATAATTAAAAGTGTTGAGTCAGATTTCACAGGAGTTTTTCTGACCAAGTCATCCGTCTTTACGTATTAACATCATGCACAGGCTCAAAAAGAAGGTCCAGCTCGATGTTTAAATCTCAAATGCAAAATCAACATTACACTGATGAAGATATGACGAAAATAGTAGATTATTCACTTACATCCTCGGAAGACATGCCATTCACCAAGTTTTGAGTGAGTTCTCTTTGAATATTTTTTCAAATATCAGTTTCATCCCCTTGGGGAAGGGGTCCAAAACACAGCCGGCATTACAAAATGTTCTTCCGCACACCGTGTGCAATTACACATTTCCACCAGAGGGGTCTCCAAATCCCCAAATCTTACACAGTGCAGCTTTAATAATCATTTTGAGAGCAAAGACACCAATTGATCCCTTTCTGAAAGTGATTTTTTTCCATTTGTCTGTAACACAGATATAATTTGGATGATAAAAATGCTTCAAAATTTTTAAGTTGCCAAAAATGTCTTTTATTAAAGATGGCAGAGACATCCCAGTATAATAAGCCATCTAAAATGGGTTTTGAATATATATATATATATATATATATATATATATATATATATATATATATATATATGCTAGGCCTGGGCGATATCTAAAAATAATTAGCACAATATTTTCTAGTGTTAAAAAATTGCGACTATCAATAATACCCCCCCAGAAATCGACCCAAAGTAAATGAATAAATAAATACACACGGTCTGCGGCAGCTTTGAACTACTTTCTATTCTATTTTAGTCTTTATGCTTTTTTTAAACATTAACTGTGTTAATGAAAAAAATCTTTAATAAAACTCTATATAAATATATTTTCGAGCTGTTTAAAGTCCTCTCTAATTCTCTCTCTCAGTTATTTTAGCAAAACGGTGATTATTGCCTTTTACACATTGCCATCCAGTGACTTGTTTATCATTGACAATATCCAATTATATTGTCAATGATGAACAAGTCACTGGATGGCGATGTGTAAAAGGCAATAATCGCCCGGGCCTAATATATACACTGTGATATGTACTGAAATAGTACGAAATTTTAATGATACCATGATAAATATTTTTGGCCATACCACCCCCTGCCACATACGGGGCTTTAGTTGTTGTACTTTGCACTTCATAACATGCCACACTCTCCAATTACACAGCAATGACGTACAAAAATTTCAAATGAATAAAAGAATGAAGACTGATTGAAAGATGACAGAGATGCAAATGTCTTTTTAACTCCTGCTTCTAACACCATCTGCCTGCTTCCTTCCTTAACACAATCATCTAGTATGACAGCACCTCTTATTCCTTTACAGTAGTGTTACAGTGGGACACAGCTGTCTGATGTAACACATACAGAAGTAGTGAAATGCCATCTGGTAAGAACTGTACTGAACATGGCTCTGCGTAGGCAACGGCTGGTGGTCTACACCTGCATCCTGTAAGAATGAAAATGCAACATAAACGCTCCTCTCAGGCAGACTGTACTCTGTGACCCCACTGCGTCCTGACTCTTCTTGGCGCATTGAAATCTAAAACACGCAAAAGGCTTTTCATAAACTTTATTGGTAAAATAAAGCAGGATTTAAACCTGTCCAGTGCTTTCAGCGATGAAGGAGGAGATATGGAGGGTGTAAAATTGACCATTACAGGCCTCCCTGAGCGAAAATAACCCTCTCTCAACTGCTGACATAATACGTATGCTGGAAGGTTCACCGTACTTTAAGACTCTGACGTTCTCCCAGGACATAATGTGATTTCTTTCTTCTGCTACTTCGGCTTACCCTGTGGTGTAGGGGATGTTAATGCCCCCCAGGTTGATACTCTCACAGCCCACGATGAAGAGTGTGGAGAAGCAGAGCAGGGACACTCCACTGCAGATCATGGCCAGCTTGGCTGACTCGCGAGCCCCCAGCTTCAGCTTCTTTATGATATATCCACCCAGCACGATGCCCACACCTGCACTGGGCACGATGATCACTCCTGAGGGAAGAAGAGAAACGAGAGACCAGATACTCTGAGAAGAATCAAAAACAAATTGGACAGCTCAACACGCTTGGAGGAAAACGCTTATCTGCTAATGCTGTTGCATCAGTTAACAAACATCCACACCGGCAAACATCACACTGAGTGATCAGGGTTTTTTTTTCCATTGTAGAGCCAAATGGTTCTCAAGGCCGTACTGTGCTGTTCTGCACTGGTGTGAACTCATGAGACAGGTTACGGTTTCTCTTTCCATCTGCTGTGCTGCTAAATCAAAACCAGGAAATACTAAAGAAAAATGACACACAAGAGTGGCTCAACAACAGCTAACAGGCTAAATGCTACAGAACACATTCTATTTTGGCTGTTACTCCAACACCAGTCACTCAACTGTGTGGACTCAGGGACTTTATCCTCTAAACAGCATCAGTTAGCTGGAACTGAGCCTGTACTGTAGTGGGTGGAACTATTAGCCTGCTAACTAGGCTAGTGTTAGCTTAGCCCAGCAGGCTACTTACTACAGAACAGGTTCAATTTCGACTTTCTGTCACTGCAACACCAACTGTTTAACTTTTCTCTAATAGAAATGACTTTTTATTGTCTACATTTCTAACAGTAGAGCATCAGTTAGTTGGAATCAAACCTGTACTGTGATGTTTGGGTCTGTAGCCCACTGGATAAGTTGACTAGAGGAACCAGTTAGCATTAGCCTAGTTTAGAGGCTACAGATTCAAACATCATGGAAGAGATTTAATTTATTTTTTTTTCCCCCAACACAAGCCACTCGACTTCACTTTCTCAGATCTGAGTCATTATCATCTGAACATGCATCTGTAAAGGTTATTTTAGGCAGATTCAAACCTGTTCTGTGGTGACCTGGTAGCATGCTAGCTAAGCTAATGCTAACCAGCTCCTCTCTCCAGGTTGTTGTTAGATTGACGTTTTGACATTTACTGAATGGTGGATTGAAAATCGTGCACTGCTTTCATTTATTTGGCGACTGTGAAAGTGAACCTGAACTTACTTGATTGCTTTTGGTTTTGAAATAATGTAAAGTGCAGCATAAATGTAGAACTAACAAACAAACAGCTACGTCATTACATCATCCTACCAAACGGTTCTGCAGTCCTGAGCAGAGGTAGCTAGCACACGTACCGTGTCGAGAACACACGTTAACAGGTTTGTAGGATGTTCTTTTAGCAAATAATAGAGAATTAGAAAAAGAAATAGACTGAGTAAGAGAGAGAGAGAGAGAGAGAGAGAGGGAGAGAGAGGGAGAGAGAGGGAGAGAGGGAGAGAGAGAGAGATCGAGTGAGAGTGTAAAAGACAGAGTGAGAGTGAGTGAGAGAGGGTGAGATAAAGAGATGGTGTAAGTGTGAGAGAGAGAGGGACACAGAGAGAGAGAGAGAGCGAGAGGGAGAGAGAGAAAGGGAGTGAGAGAGGGAGAGATAGACTGAGAGCAAGAGAGAGAGACATTGAGAGACAAAAGGAGAGGGACAGAGAGAGAGAGAAAGAAAAAGAATGAAAAAAGAAGGAAAGAAAGGAAAGCATTAAGAAAGAAGACAGAAAGAAAAAAGTGAATGTGAGACAAAGACAGAGAGAGAGAGAGACAGATTGAGTGAGGGTGTGAAAGACAGAGAGAGAGAGAGAGAGAGAGAAAGAGAGAGAATGTCAGTGCTGTATATTTGCGAGAATGTAGCTGGGTGAGGTGATGAGATCTGAAAGTCAGAGCTGACCGCTGGCAGTAGGAGGTCACTCTCTAAGTCCACACTGGTGGGCAAGGAGCACCCAGAGAGCCGGGCACATGTCTGCCCTCGGGCCAGAGTCTGACCAAACTCATCATCAGGGAGACGTATAACGGGCAGGGGCAAGTCAGGTCAGCAGCTGTGGATTACTATTTACATCACATACCATCTCTCTCTCTCTCTCTCTCTCTCTCTCTCTCTCTCACATGCACACACAGGCACGCTCAAACACAGACAGGAGTTGCATCATTGGCCTGGTCAGCAGACTGCTAAAGCTTATGATTATCTGAGAAACACATCTGCTTCAGTGGGGATCGCACCACACGCTCAGCTGAGCTTCATTAGGCTACAATAAACACATACACACACACACACGCACTAAGGTGGTAAAATATGCGTTGACGAGACAACTCAGGCTGTGAGAACTCATTCCAGCACCTTTTCCATCCCCTCCAGCTAAATATAACCATGAGTGTGTCAAAAACAACCCATAGTGATGAGGGGGCGGGTGGGGGGGGTGGGGGGGGTCACACAAATGAGCCATCCCTCCTCCTCCAGCACTGACATTGGTACAGCACAGCAACGGATCCCTTTCACTTTCAATGGGAAGCGTCTTTCCCCTTAGCTGGAGCCTGGCATGATGGGACTGGTTCAGTTTGGGGGATGCAGTGAGTCAAAAAAGATGGGAGGGGCAACTCTAAGTAAATGAGCTCAGCCAATAGCAAAAATCCATATCAATAAACGCATCTATTCTACGTGCAAAATTCAGAATTTGAGTGTGGAAGACGTTTGGATATTAAAGGGCCCATATCATGTGAAAAATTAATAAAAGAATTTCATGGAAAACCCTTTCAAAACGTATCATTCTCTCCAGTCACCCACAGCCCATATGAGGAAACTAACCTGCAAAAACAGCCCCTTTTGGAATTCTGTTTTTGTGATGCCATGAAATCCAACACATTTACATATTTACCTACTTGCCTATAGCAGTTCAGCCTCACCTATTCACACTGAAGTTATAAGAGGTGTTTTAGCTGGAACTGCTTTATAAGTGAAGCACATAAAAGGCAGCCAATCAGAACGGAGATCATTTACATACCCCAGTCTGAAGCCTGTTTAATTCCAAAGGTTAAAGAAAGGTGCACTACAAGAGGTAGTGATTGAAATCTTCCCTACGAAATGGGACAAACCTCAAATAAAGAAGAACATTACTTCATTAACAGGTTACTAGTGGTGCTCTGTAGGCAACCCTGCCAGTCTGCAGTGACAGCAGAGGAGCGATAAAAAAAAAAGCGGGTTAAAAAAAGATCATGCAAGAAAAATGTAGGACATGGAACCTTTAATACAACGGCCTCACTATATTATCTTTATTATATCTCTATTATCTCACTATGCTGGCAGGTATTTTTGCTTGATAATTTAGCATATGTCTTCCAACAAACAAGATTATCTGCCAATAATGAGATAATTTCACAATTAATTCTCTGAAAACCAGAAAAAAATGTCTAGAAACATCTTAAATAATCTCATAATAAGATTACAACAATCTCTAAATGCAAAGTATTACACATATCTAGATTATATCTAGATGTAAGATAATTTAACTTGCCAAGATACTATTTTTTGCACAGAATAATGAACGAAGAAGTGCTTACTGCAATTCTTACAAAAATACTGCTTAATTATAACATTTAAATTAAAATACTTATTGGATATTGGTATTTTTTATGACTTTGTAATTTGTTGCCTGTTTTATTAAAGAAATAAGTCATTTAGGGCTGAACATTACAATGAATTTACCATGTTTAACACCTCTTCACTGTAACTAATGCATTATGGCTTATTGTTTCAATAAACACTAGAATTAACTGGCAAAAGTACATACGCACAATAAAAAGGAAATAAACTTTTATTAGAGGAATACGAATGTACAAATTATGGTTAAAAAAAGAGAATAAAAATCAATCAATCAAGGAACAACTTAATATTCAAATTCATAAAATGAAAAGCCAGGCTTAAAAGATACTAGGTCTAAAACTGTGAATTTCAACCATTTATTGGCAGATTCTTCCATAACTGCAGGGATCTAATGTTCCTCAATGCTAATGAGAAATACGAGATCCTCCCACAACTACTACTACTTCAGGCACTGGTCTGATGACGTTAACCTGGGGGTTGCTTTCCCATGTCAATGCTCATAAACATGCCAGCATACGCTACAGTCGTCATAGTAACCATAGGACCACTTCTTCTCTCTCAGTGTATCCTGGTAACATAATGACGAGCCCCAGAACATGAAGCTCTGCCAGCAGCCAGCTCGCTGACATATGGTCAGCATCTCACGCATAATGCCTCCTGGTTTTACTGCTTTATTCCACACTGTCCTCAGGACAAGCCCAAAGCAACAATATGACCACAGCAAAGTCTCCATAGCGATGCTGCAGCCACGTCCACAGAGGGGTATTTGTATTTGTGTACAGTGCTTGTATCTGCAGAGACCCTTGTCACAGAGACCTTTGGTGACAGAATTTGCTTTTTGACGTCTCTCCAGTGTCCTGGCCGCCGCTGAAGGAGAAAGCATCTGTGCTGCTATACTACTGTTCAGAAGTTTGGAAACAGTGTTTTCAAATAATGTACCACCAAAATGGTTGCATATACAATGAATAAAGTGATTCTAATGTGTTAGTCCTGAGTCTAAAATGATGTACAGAGCTGTACAATGACTGAGAAAGCTGCATAACATCAATAATTAAGAATTAAGCATCAGGAATCAGATAATTACAATGTAATTATCACATAATTACAATGTATTAAGCATTTAAGTTCTTGTTGTCAGAGAACTTATATTGAAATGTCAAATAGGTCATCTAAAAGATGTTCTAATGTCTAGTTATAATATTTGAATCTGCAGCAAATGTTACTGCATATAAAATGATAAAAAGTAAACAGGAATCATTCTGAAAGACAATTTATAGTAAGGCATAATAAAGAGCCTATATCAAGGAAATACAAATAAAAGAGCTTGATGCAGGATGTAAACACTGTTAAATTTCATAATGTCCTATTCACACACAGTCCATACGGTCCATATACAGAACTTTCAAACGCAGTCCATTTTAAATTCTATGTTTTTGTAATGTCACAAAAACCAATACACTGACATATTTCTGCCCATTCCACCTACAACAGTTTAGCTCTGCCTATTTACACTGAAGCTACAAGGAGTGTTTCGGTCTGGACCGCTTTTTGAATGAGGCACAATACAGGGCAGCCAATCAGAACAAAGCTCATATAGATATTTTAATCTTAAAGGCACAGTAACAAAAACAGCCTGTTTACTTCTAAAGGACCAAGAGAGGTTGGAAAATGGTCATGAATTCACAAATAAGGGCTGTTTTTTGGGTAAATAAACTCATAAAAACATCAGAAATGGACTCTAGGGAAAAATTAAATCAAGATAAATGTAGGATATGGGCCCTTTAAGGCATATGCACTCTCCACAACTGAGATAAGAAGCTGAGAGTTACTTAACGCATTCCTCTGGCTTTTTAGATAATCAGACAGAAAGCAGAATGAACTGAGCAAGCTTTTTAAGACATCCAGGCTGTTTTTGGAAGGCAGCCAGTGACGGGCTACTGTTCAGGCCAGAGGTTTGGACATTACCTCAGGCAGTCATGTCAGTGTGATCACTTTATTCAGCAGCAATCTGCTCTGCCTACACAGCCCTGAGCGGATAAGAGCCATAAAAGGAAGCTCATCACACCTATGCTATGTTTTCACATGTGCGTACACGACTATATGATGTGTAAATTAACGTGCTGGCTGACACACTGGGGAGGAGGGGAATGCGTAGAACATGTGATGGAAGAAAATAGGGCATGTACATATATATATACGTGAGAATTAATGAAAAGATTTGATTTAATTTGGCATTTAAAGTGATGGTTTGCTTCTGGAGCTACGAGGCAGCTCACAAGTAATAAAGGTTTTTGTACAGCAGTTTGCGTCGTGCAAACTGACTACATGCCTCAAAGCATGTCAAGTAATCTCAAATAGGCATACACTATGTGGTTTCTGACAGTGAATGACAAACTGTTATCTATCAAAATGGACATAGGCACGCTAAACCTACATGTGTCTTCTGTGTTTTTATACGTAATGATGATATAAAAGAAGAATACACATGTAGGTTCATGGGTGGTTTTGTATAGTAAATAAAATGGCTATATTTGAGTTGTAGACATGGCGATCCCGGGTTCCTATCACCACCACTGTAAAGAAATGAGTCTGCAAGTTTCTCTACAATGAGTCATTTCACATCAACCCACTCTGAACGACCTTGTTTACATCTCAAAGACTGAATTATGCAGAAATTTTGGAATTTCCATTTTAGGGGGTTTGATAACTGGCAGTGACATGGTCACCTGATGCCGGGAGCCCAAGAAAGCTTTGTGTCCAGTGTTTCTCTGGGTAGGTCAGATGGCCTCCTCCTCCTCCTCACTTAGCACAAAGATAGCCAACGTGGCTGCTTGCTAGCGGATGTAACAGAATTAGCAGTTAGCATTGGCCTCAAAGCACGTTGAGCTGTCAGATAACGTCACGTTAGCGGCTGTTGAAGCAAAAAGGCTGGCTGGTTTTCCGTGTCTCTGAGGAAGCACATGCTAGCCTTCACCCTCCCAGCTTGGTAGTACAGTGCGATTGAGGCAAATGTATACTAATCCAATCAATCAATCAATCAATCAAGTTTGCAAGAACCATCCTTAAAGAAAACCCTCCTGGTACCTGTGTAGATGCTGGCGTTGGAAGCGGGGATGCCGAACTGCGACTCGATGAATTTGGGGATGAAGGTGATGAAGGCGGTGACGATGGCGCTCTCGGCCGTGTAGGACAGACTCACGAACAGAAAGGTCATGTTACTCAGGATCCTCACAGCCGCTTTGGGGAGATCTGTGGAAAAAAATCCAAATAAAAATAAGAACACCAGCACCAGTGACTGCGTCCTCTACAGCCATCACAGCAAGGACAGAGCCGTCAGAGAACCGGTCCTGCATCAGAGGACACATGGGATCTGCTTCTGCTGACAGTTCTCTTACCATAGCTGTTCATCTTATGATTTAGTACCTGCCTTATAAATAACACTCAATAACTCATAAGCCTTGAGACTTTGTATAGGAGATTCATACTACAGGCTCTAGATGGTTTCAGGACATCTGTGTAAGTAGATACCAGTTATTTTGTGTCTAGTTTTGCACTGGAGCCAATAGCTCATCATACTGCTGTCTATACAATAACAATGTGGTTATGGCTAAAAAGGGTAGTTGGGTGATTCCAAGATTGGGGTGCCATGTGTGTCCCACTGATGCTACATTTACAAATATGTAGAGTTGTATGCAAAAGTTTGGGCACTCCTTGTCAAATTACATGTTTTTGTTGATTTTCCAAGTGTAAATAACTTAAATGTGAATAAAAAAATGTCTTATTTAAGCGTGTTCTCTGCAGAGGATGTGTTAACATACTGTCACTTAGAAACTCAACAAAACGTAATTTGACCACTTTTGCTTATGATTGTAGACATTTTAAACATGGGTAAAATGCCTTTTACAACCACCTATATAAATGCTTCAGATTAATAATTTAAAAAGCATAATAAAAACTATCAGCACTTAGAACACCAGCTAGAAAATCATTATTTTTGCATTAATGTGTGAATCCGTTCTCATGCTTGAAACGTATTTATGATATGAAAATGTACTATTCCTTTAATGAGCTTGTTTCCATGGTTATCTCCCGAATGCTGCCCATTTCAACTACTAATGAACAAAAACTCTGCCAATACCTCGTAAATCCACTGACTCAGCTACAAGCTCAAGGCCCGAGAATGCAGTAGGTTACAGCAGGTTTATGAAGGGACGCTTCCACACGCTGTTCCTCAGAGCCCCGGGGCTTTTTCTGCTAATAACGCTAATCAGGTCTAAGGGTAGCTAGCAACTGCATGTAGACCATGTAAGCATGAGAAGTTGGACGCAGAGAAGTTAATGAGGGAACAAACCTTTGCCAACCAAATGCTAATCAGTACATTTTGCAGGTGTTCAGCAGTAATTAAACGGTGCAGCACACAACTCACTTTGTTCAGCGCTACCAATAAAGCAGATTGGCTCATGTTAGATTTCAGGATTTCCAGTAAGATCAGTCCTCACGTTCCTTTAATGCTACAGCACTACTGTAAGGGGAGTTCCACCAATTTTTTAAAGTGAAATGGTGAACTAAAGAGAAGCTCTCAGGCTCAGATTTCTTAACAGTGGTGATAGGAACCAGGGGGCACAATGTGTACAATGCAAATATTGCCTTTTATTTACTAAGCAGAATTTTAAAAATAAATTTTAGGCCAAAACTTTCTCACAACTATCATAAAAACAATGTCTCAGACATCAGGCAGTGTGTTGAGGACCATTTTGTTTACTAACTACCTGTGAGGAAGCTTTCAGAGGCATTGAATGCTTCTGACGTCTGGTTCCTATCACCACCACTTTAAACAATTCCACTACGGAAAAAGTTTCTCTGAATTTTACGATGCATTTCAAATTAAACCATCAAATTCTGAATGACTGTTAACATCTTAACGATTAAATCAATTTAGAAATTTAGAAAAATTAATGATCTTTCCCTTTAAAGGTTGCTTATCTAAAATGCCCTGTTTAGAATTGACTGTGGTTGTGATGTCACAATGACCGACATATTTACATTCTGCTTATACATTTAGGCCAATCAGAAGAGAGATCAACTACTGATCTTAAAGGCACAGCAACAAAAACAGCAGTTTAATTCTAAGACTTAAAGACAGGTTGAATTATGGCTGTTTTGGACCCTTTAATGCACTCATCAGGTTTGAAAGTGGTGGGTTATGTAGGTGTGTGTGCACTTCATCAGAAGAGATGGTCATGCAAGGAGGAAACTAAACATATCTAGAGAGAAAGGCCTCAGAGTAATCAAGGCCCGGCATTGATTTCTGAAATCCATAAAGCGGTCTTTGAAAGCTCATTAGTGAACTGCACAAGTCAAAAACTTCAAAAACAATCAGCGCCTTTGACACAGTTTAATGAGCTAACCGCAAACCCTGTCTCCGAGACGAGGTCTCCTAATGAATTAACTACACGAAGCACTCAAAGATGCAGTCGATTCTCATTGAGGAGTTTCAAAGCCGAATCAACAAAGAAAAAACATTAGTTTGTTACGCAATTTTTCGCTTCTACCATTTAACTTGGATCATCAATCTATTATATTTCATTAGGGCCCGTTTCACAGTGGCTGTGCCATCAGAAAAAAGCGCTACCACAGGCGGAGTCAGCAGAGCCGTGCGCTTCAGCGAGACGAGGGCTGTGCGAAGGCGGCCCCCTGGGAGCTCATTTGGAGAAAAAGCAGGCGGCCTGCTTCTTTCCTAGATAACACCACAGCTATTTATCAGAGAAACTCTCTCCAGCGAGGACAGCTACCTTCATATCGGGGAAGCCGAGGCATTATTGCGCTGCCGATAGAGCTGCTGCTTTCTACCTGTGATGACTGTTTCTATCTGAACATAGAATACATCTCAGAACACTGAGGAGTCCTGTAGCGTGACATGGTCTGCGACGTAACTGAACAAGTGATTCAGGCAACGGCCAAAGAGAGAGATAGGAGAGAGAAAAACATGAAGAGATGTGTATGCATGCCACACAAGCAGTGGACCACACAGATAGAGCACACATACAAATAAGAGCCTTTCTAATGTTTAGATCCAGACGTCAAGGCACTCGCTTTACAATTACAAGTCAGCTGCCAGTTTGTGGTGAAATATTCTCCAGCTCTCACTGAGATATCTGCATTTCTCAACTTCATAAAGCACAAACAGGCCCGGTGCAGTTTAGCTTTGTTTGTATCACATGATAACCAAGGAATTCTGGGAGTTCTTTTGAGTTCTTTTTTCTATCCGAAACTTATTGTGTGACACCGTCTCTTTGCCTTATTGACTTTTTAAGTGAAATGGTGTATTAGAAAGAAGCTCTCAGGCTCAGATTTCTTTACAATGGTGGGCACAATGTGTACAAGGCAAATATTGCAATTTTATTTACTATGCAAAATTTCCAATATAAACTTTAGGCCAAGACTTTATATCAGACATCAGGCAGTGTATTTAGAACCATTTTGTGTATTAACTACCTGTGAGGGAGCTTTTAGAGGCATTGAACGCTTCTGAAGTCTGGTTCCTATCACCACCCCTTTAAACAATTCCACTATGGTATGTTTCTCTGCATTTTAGGCTGCATTTCACATCAAATTATCAAATTCTGAATGACTTTTTACATCTTAACGATTTAATTATTTGGAAATTTTGAAAAATGAACAGAATTTCCCTTTAAAGGGGCCACAGGCCATTGCTTTTTTAAGTTAAAGAGTTTGATGCTCTATGTAAACTGTTTCAAAACTAACCCAGTCCATACAGTCCCTGGGAACCAGGCGGCAAAAAGCGGCCTGAATTCACAATGGTTGTGATGTCACAATCACAGACATATTTACATTCTGTTTAACCAAAAACATCCTGTTTAGAATTCACTGTGGTTGTGATGTCACAATGTGACAAAAAGACAAGAAATTCTGTGAAGAACTGACATTAAGTTTTGCGATGCTTTGTGTTTTAGAAAGCTGTTAGGATTTTAAAAGGTGTGTAGTGTATGCCTGGCCTTAGTTGGATGAGCTACTAAAATCTTGCATTTTACTTCATTGATGACTAATTCAGTAATCAATGGAAATGACAGCACCACACCCTTGTTTTCAAATTACCTATGGCAGAAGGAAGTGAAAGAAACACAGCTTCTATAGGCCACTATAAAAATCGCCCATGAGGACTATGCTAGTACATATACACTGCACGCTGCCTGGAAAGGGCATGTTTAAGCTCCATTTGTCTTTCAGATCTTTAAAAGTCCCTGTTGGCATTTATACATATTGTTTTTTGAGAGATTTCGCTCTTTGATGCATTCCTATTTAATGAGACATAAAAATAAACTTAAATCTTTGTTCAGGTTCTATAGATTCCGTAGATGTTCAGCATTTACAAATTGCAGTCAGAAATTGGTGCATCGTGAGCTAAAATGTGAAGGCAGCAAAAAAACCCAGGAAAAGCTTCAGCCGTTACGATAACCTTAGGCAGCCTACGGCTCTCTTTAGGCACATACATTCTGAACACCTCTTCTTACACATTTAAAAATTCTTTTTTTTATTCATATCAAAGAAGTGGAGAAATTGTGTGGAAAGTGCAAATCGTAAACCTTCAATGAATAGCACACTTGTAGATGAGCAGTAGAGGAGATATTTTATTATGGTTTGAATTTGATAAAAAGTTGTGTTCAGCCTCGTTTAGTAAAAAAGAACATTTTTGTCACTTTTTTTGCCAATTTTTTTTAACATCTAAACAAACAGGGAAAAGTCAGAAGTGCAGATCTTCTGAATGTAAATCAAATGTAAATATAATTAGTTAACTGTATAATAAACTACTTGCAAAGTAATCATGTAATGAATTATATAATGATGTTATTTCAATAGTACAGCAAAACGACAGTAAAGTGTTCACATCTGAAGGTGAGATAAAAATCATTGAGTGGTCATCCTGAGGGACTCACCCTTGATGTCCTTCCCAAAGCCCATGGAAGAGGTGACCGTTTGTCCTTTGCTGTTAGATTTCTCCTTCATGACGTCGTCATCGCTGGGCACATCGTCTGCGCCAAGCTTTTTCTTCTTTTTCTTCTTGTGGCGAGGGGGCAGCTTCTTGGGGAAGGTGAACATGGGGAAGATGACCAGCAGCATGGCTATTGCACACAGCAGGAAGCCACTCCACCTGAGGGGAAGAGCACAGGATCTCCATACATCTCTATGTCCATCCCTTAATGAGGAAAATACACTGTCAAAGGTTTGGAGACACCTAGCTTTTCAAAATGGTTTTAACAGAGTGGGCCGCTCATTTTATCCCTTCACTGTGATGTCGACACTTATCAGCACTCAAATCTTTCAGGCGTTTAAACCACATTTGGGTCAAAACAGTTTCAATATAAGCCTGTGCCTGGTGACAATCAACCGAGTTACCATGGTAACGCTTGTTTTGTTTATTGGTTTGTTTCATGCAAATCATATGTAAACATAGCTGAACATGTTGGGTGATGTGATAACCTGCATTAATACCACAGCATTTGTATCTAACATAGATGAGATCGTTCTATAAACTCGGCTGTTGAGCTGCGCTGGTTGAACCATCATGGCTCTTGTACAGTTTACACCATTTAAAAGCTTCTGAGGGTATCAGGTTAAGTGACCAGACACCACAGCCTCGAACAGTAAAGTTCATGTGACATTTACAGTTCCGGTCTTTCTTACTGGATTACTGGAGTTTCGTGGCCAAATTAAAAATGAAAATACAGTACAACAACAACTTATACTAGAATGCACTTTTATTTTTATCTGACAAGGATTAGGCTTCAACTCACAAGCCATTCCTGTGACTGCGTCAGAGTTAGGGGTTGTCACAAAATTACCAGAAAAAAACACGTGTCCCTCTCACCAGAACTGACCTACTTCAAAATGTGCTTTGGAAAAAAAAGGCATGAAATCACTGTTTTGGCAAAATCTGCTCTTCATACCAAGAAAGACACTCTGAGGATCACAAACCTGAAAGTTAAAGCTTAATAAACCCAGAGGATTAGCAAAGAGCTGCTTTATGTTACAAAGTTTTGCAGGGATTTTTCTTACTTCTTTGAAAAGTATCCTTACAAACTTTTGATTGTGTACATTGGAAAACATTCAAATGCACAAAGCAGAGAAGAATTCTTACCAGTTACCAACGAAGCGAGGGTCACTCTGATCAATGTTGATGATGGTTTTTGGGTCCACATAAAAGCCGATGAGAACTCCTCCCAGCAGATACCCAGCCGCTGGACCCAGAGCACCCATCACATACATGATAGCTGTAAAACACAAAAAACAGGTTTAAATTTTTATACAATATTAGGATGACGGGATCATATTTCACATATGCATTACATAAATTTAAGTACTAATATGTAATAATGACAATAACAACAACTACCTATATGTAATAATAATCACAATATGTCCCATGTTTACTGTAATAGTGTCTCCATTTTTCTACATCATTTCAACACACCAGCTGTCCTTTACGTTGTGTGAACATTTCATGATGAATGGACCAATAGAAATGCTCTAAAATCACTTGGAATAAAAACGTCTTTACATTGACTTACATTGAAATGTAAGAGTGTTTTTGCCCTCTCCTGTAAAGTTACTACTTTGGTTTTTCTTTGGACAGCAACAATATGCAAGTACATAAAAGTCCCACAATTATATTATATATGTAACAATATGTCCCATATATAGTGCATTTATCTATGTATCTATTAACCAGTTTTTCAGACACAGATAACGCTGGATCAAGCTTAGACTAAAAGGTAGTGCCAACAGTAAACTGCCATTGGGAATTCCTTTTAATCTAGGTTTGGGCTTCGTCTGGGTTGAAATGTAATGTAAACGTTACTTGAAAAATCTAACCTTAATCCCAATAATCAAAATTAATGGGTGATGCCCTTTTATAAAAAAAAAACACTACACTAATTAAGGATCACTTTCAACAAGGTAGGTTAGTCTTGGTTTTCCCTGGTTTTCTTACAAAGTCAGGATTTTTCGTTCTGAAAATGAACAAAAACAAACACGCGTACACACACAGTATTACTGTACCTTCCAGTTCCACTTACGTGTAACATTTCCTCCACCATAATAAGCCTAATTAAGGCGTTCAATGTTCTTTCCACTTTAGCCATTAAGTTACTGATTGACTGTGCCGCTGATAGCTGAGTTAGCACTGAGAAGAGCACAAGCCTTCAGTGTCTACACATTAACACAGCACACTTCCTCTGCTCGCTCTGAACCCAGTACAGCCCACCGCTTCTCAGAAGAGGCACAAAACAAGCCAATAGCCGCTGACCTTTACTTGACATTATGATCTTTACTGGAGCAAAACATTCCCAGTGCCCCGTAAAGAGGAAAATGCTAACGTTTACTGCCATGTAAGCAAAGCCTGGTACATTGAAGGTGAATGCACAGGCCTTGCCAGAGTACGTGTACACCAGTGGTGTCAAAAAACAATGAAAAGGTTTTATGGGACAAGGAGAATCGTTCTCAACTTTAATGCATGTAAATGTATAAAGGTTTTATTCCAATTCATTTTTGCTCATTTGTCTTGTTCCACGCATCATGAAATGCTCACAAGAAGAAACGGGCGGCTGCAGATTTCAAATAATGTCTCGTATGTATTAGTTATAGATGATATCTATTTGCAATAACATATTCCTGTAACCACAGGAACCAAAAAGAAGAGGCTTCGCTCTTTCAGTAAAAAATTGGGGCTTTTGTTGCAATAATTAGAATAAGAATAATAATGTGTGGCAGGCGAAGGGCTTTTTGTCATTTATTAATTATTGTTACTTAATTAATAAAGGAATAATAGTGAAAACATGGCCATGACAATATGTAACCAGTCCAGCAGTGTGAAAAAAATGAAAAGTCAGCTCATTTATGCACACAAAATCTGAGCAATTTCAGGTGTTCCCAGGTGGTGTGACAGACTAAGCCATCATCCCAATAGGAGCTTGTGGACCCCAGTGATGCCATAGCCATCCGTAAGTGACTACCTCTGATAGGTCTGTGTGATGGAAAGAGCCCCAGCTAATTTACCAAACTGAGAAGCTGAACTAAAAAAAGTTAAGAGAACCTTTGACTTAACTAAGATGTCTCAGTTGACTCTATTGTCCTCAAATTGAGATAACTCAAGAGAAGCTGTGTAATCAGTTACTTCATGAGTTTAAGTTGACTCATTTTTCACAGTGAGGAGGATGTTTGTATGTAGGATATGTAAGTTTGTATGTATATATATATATTCCCTGTTCATTACTTTTTCTTTATTATTTAAAATATTTTATTTTAATTACATTTACAAGTAAGTTCTCATTTTAATTTTAATTACACTTTTTCTAATTACGCATTGTTCTTTATGCAGAAAACACTTCAACAACTACATATAACATCTGTTTTAGTATTTTGTGTGCCCACCCTTTGCCGTTCTTACAGCTTCAGTTCTTTTCAGGAGATTCACTTTTAGTTTTTCAAAGAAATCTGGAGGGATATTTTTCACACCTCCAAAGTTCAGTCTTACTCCATATCTCAGATGGCCAGGTTCAGTGTTTTGGTGCAAACTTTCGTCTGTTTGCATTTTTTCTATATATTTCAAACAAAATAATATTTGTACAGTGTAAGGCGTGTGAGTTAAACTTCTGAGGGTCAGTTAATTCACAAATGCCTAAAACACTAAGATAGCCCTGCTAGAACAGCTACCATCAAAACTAGCGTATGTCGTGTTTTGGATGCTGGTATGCTGGTCAACCAGAATGACCATGCTAGTTGACCAGTTAAACCAGCACAAGCTTAGACCAGCATGGAACTTGCAGCAGGCTCTTACAAAGCCAACAGAATTATCAGGTATACAGACCACCCCTTACACTATCTGCACACTGTCTGTGTCTTTACTTCGATACTTGAACAGTAAAAAATCTAAACGCCCATCGCTGATCTGTTTAAGCCAGTTCACCAGTCTCACTGCCTCGACTGTACATCCACCGAACCAGAACTCTAGCTGGTTCTGACCCAGAAACCAAAGCCCATTTGGCCAGGCCTAATCTTTAATCTCTCTCATACCGGAGAAGCTGATCTTATAGCGTCCAATGTTACATAACCCACACATGTACACACAGACAAAACAAGCAGATAAGATTCTTCACTTAGAAAAGACCAAAGCAAGAGGGGACGAATCAAAATCTGCACGGGTCTTACATGTGTTTCTGGCAGACAGCAGCCCAGCAAATAATCTCTCACACTGTCCAGGCGACTCCACAGCGGAATTAGATTTTTAGGTAAAATAAAATAATCCTCCTTTGCAGTAAAATAAAGCTCTGCTGATCATTTTAACACAGTTTTAACAATAAATGGTCTTAAACGCTGGAGTTAATGTAGCCTATAACTGCTAACTGACCAACCTTTAACCCTGAAGATTGGCGTGCAGACTGCTGGTCACCATAGCAACGCAGACAACACCTCAACACCTAGCTAGTAGCTAACATAAAGGCAATGAGGGAGATTTAAGATGAACATCAATGATTTGGAGACAAATGGACTTGTTTACATGTTTAATCACTCCAGCTGGTTTCCTGATACATTTAACCTGCAACGAGAAGCTGTCAAACACTCAAAAATGGACTAAAGGTCAGCTTCTCCTTCGCCAGCTTCTTGTTCCACCTTAAATGGTGCAGCAGTTACATTCTGATGTTTCCTGCCAGAGATGCGAGAAAAGCGTCCATAGCTGAGCTAAAGCTTAAAGCAGAGCAAAGTCTACGTTTTTGTTTATATTGTATTGTTTAGCATGTACTAGTGCATCAGCACATACTGAGACATATTTACAGCCAAGATGGTAAAATGGACGTAAACTGTTGTGGCAGCCAAAGTGGTTTGATTTTTGTTGAAAGTACAAAATGACTCTTCTTAACATTTCTGCTGTCGACCCCTGGACTACGTGGAACACAAAGGCTTGTGTTATTCTGACTGCAGTGGAAGCTCTTAGATCTGTTAGTCTAGGTCTGCAAAAAGGTCTGCTGGGCGATTAATCGAAAAGTAATCGAAAAATGATTGAAACCGACATTCAGAACCTCTAACTGACGTAATCTTGCCCATGTCGGTTATTTCTATTTTTTTAAATTCTGCTAATCCTTTCCCCACTCTGTGTGTTCATGTACTGTCCCCTTAAAAACTTACTACCACGCATGTAGTCACGGGACTCTGCCACGTCCACTCTGTGACATAGAAGCTAAGGCTATGTTCACACAGCAGGTAAATGTGGCCCAAATCTGATTTTTTTTGTTTGGCTTTTCACATTATCTTTTAAATGAGATCTGTAATGCGACACGAGTCTATACTCCTAAACATGAGTCACACTCCTAAACTGACCGGCATGTACAAAAGAACAACGCATCACGTTGCTTCACATGGCTCATCCAGAGGTAAACAATCAAGAGTATGAACAAACACCAGTCACTCCCGGAGGGTTCAGAGTTCGCCGTAAAAAGGGCACGGTTACCTCTTTCGTTTGAGTCCTTGGATTCTTTAAACTTTGCTTTCAGACTTTTAACTGTTCTTTGACACAGCAGCCTTGTTTTCCTACGGCTGCATTCGGCCATTTCTTTCAAAATCTCTTCAAACACAGAGGTGTTTGGATAAGTCTCTTCTAATTTCTGTACAGAAATATTGGCCCAAATGTTTATTAGGTTTCAGCAGCGCGAAATTATGACAAATGTCGAGTTAGACTGACATAAAAGCAGCGTGAATTCCGATCTGGCTGTTGGCTGTTGTGGCTTAATTTACATTAAGATATGCAGAACATATTTACAGTACAAACCTTGTCAGTGAATTATGAGGGGAAAAAAAACAAGAAAACAAAACAAAAAAAAACACAAATAATCATTCATTAATCATAGCTGAGGTAAAATATTCAATTAATCGTGATACTGATTTGAGGTCATATTGCCCAGCACTAATATAAAGTAATGCATTACACCTGAATCTGCATTATAATCACCCCTTTAATGAGCTTGTGGGATCTCGCTGTTCTCTTTTCTTCCTCTTCTTGATTATGCTTCCCTAATTTTACCAGACCAAGTAAATAGTTGAGTGATTCTTTTTTCGGAAAGTGTTCAATATCAGAGGTAGGTGCTAGGAGACCAAATACAGCAAGTAGAAGTGGTCAAAGACCTTTTTTTCTCAATGTAAGGCAACGTCTGCCTGGAAAACATACGGAGATCTGGGCATGGCAACAAAATGATCAGAGCACCACTAAGTTTGGTGAAAA